TAAAAAATTAAAAAATTAAAAATTATGAACAATAGACTTAAGGCACAAACGTGCGTGACTCAGAAATTGATTGTTGCAGAAAGTAATAAGAATTCTCTGAATTTTGCTCATTTTTATTTATATAATATTAAAAATTTCCTAAAAGTCTGCTTTAAAGAGTTTGTAGTGAGAATTTAGTATAACAGTTTCCGTTAAAACTGTTATAATCCAAAAAAAATTTGTATTCTTTAACAGACAACATAAATATATAAATACTATATATATGTACTATAAACTATAAACTATATATACTATATATAATATTTAGAAAATTTTTATAAACGATATTTAAGATATCTATATATTTGGCGAATATTTTTGAATTTGCTTACTTTTCAAAGATGCGATGTGCTAACGCTTTTTTTTACATCATTTTTATACATCCACGTTGAAGTACCTATAATGCGATCTATGAATTTTTCATCAATTAAATATTGATATCATTTATCGTATTGTATATGCTTTATCGCTTAGAAAAAGCATTCATGCAGTTGTTTTAGAAGACTTTTTTGTATTTATACAATATTGATCTTTCGACGCCTTCGATACAATTGTTTTGCCTTATTCGGCTATGATTTTCATTTAATTTTACTTCATAGTTCATCGTATCAAATTCTTCGCATTACAAGTAATCCTCTAAGATAGTTTAAGGAATTATTTATCAATATTTTCAAATAACTGCTTGAATATTCTATCTACGACACATTTTATCTATGACATTGTTCTGTCGCTGATGTTGTACAGTTTTAACATTGCATTAGTATCACCATTCCAGTTTTAAGAAGTATGTTATATATCGGTTTGAATTAATATATATCGTGCTTTTGGTATTAATATTTAGAGACCCATACATTTTGTTTGAAACCGTCCCTTACGAATTGTTTAGAAATATAAATCTACGTACAGAACTCAATTCAATTGAAGTACATAAGTGCCTTTAACACTTTTCGGCATTGGGTATGTAGAATTATTGTAACTATAAGATTTGACATTACAATATTGAGAGAGTTTCAGTGCTCACTTACTGGGCTGAGAGCACGGTTGCCATTTGAAAATTTTTTTGCTGTACCAAAATTGGTTTGAAAAGGTACCATTTCTTTTTGCTTTTTGGTTCTGTGTTTTTCATAGTGTTATAAATGAACAAAATATAAAATAGTGCAAAGTTGTAATTATAAAAAAAATTAATTGGAAATATCCACAATAAAGTTGGGTCGTCAAAAATGTACCATTTTTTGAACATGAGTACCAAACGAAAAAAAAAGTACCAATTTTGGTACTAAAGTACCATAAGTGGCAACCGTGGCTGAGAGGGTTTTAGTACTTCTCGCTTTTTTATATCATTGTACATACATTACTCAATTCTATTAAAGTGCAAAAGAACTTTATATACTTTTCAGCTTTAGATGTAGAGAATTATGGTATCCGTGTAATTAGATTTTATAATGTTAGAGAGTTTACTTGATTATTTGATAGGTTGAAGGGGTCTTGGTATTTCCCTCTATTAAAAGATTCGTAAATTTATAGTTTTATAGGTTATTTCAAGTCTGAAACTGTGAAAAGGAAGTGAAAAGGAAATAAGTTTAGTAAACTGAAAAAATAAAATATGTTTTTATTCAGTAGACAATTTATTCAAATTAAATTAGCTTGTGTTATTCAAATATAAAACTAAAAATAGTTGAAATCAAGTATAAATTACTTAATAATAGTAGTAATAGTAGTAGTTATAACTTTTTTAAATGTTTTGTACAAAAAATTCATAATTCAATAATATGAAAATGTATGTTAGAAGCCGGAGGCTAAGATCAATGTTCTTAACACCAATTAGTTTTATGAGATTGTCTTATATATTATTATTCTAATGCTGTATTTCATACTTTGAATTAAAAATTTTTCAAGTTATTTTTTATAAATTATAAACACTTTTAATTAAAAATTTTTCAAATTATTTATTATAAATGATGTACAAGATTTCATGTTAATACTTTAAAAACTTTTAAGGGTTCTTGACCTACTTTCTATAGTAATAAACTGTCACATCATATTACAAATCAAAAATTTTAATAAAGCTTAAGTAGTGAAATGAACTGGAAATATTATCACTAATTCCACTATTTTTTTAAATTATTGTAACATGCAGTGCATGTTCGATGATGATAAGGTACGAAGGGTTACTAAACTTGTTAGTGTGAAATACTAAACTGTACACTTTTAAATTGAAATAAAATTTTTTATTATGAATTAATAATTGCAGTTTTGCAAACTTGATAATTGCATTCGATTTTTATCGTAGCTTTAAGTGGTTTTGTACTTTAATTGCTATTTTCCATAATAATTATTAAAAATATTATGAAATATTTAGATACGAACTAAGTTGCTAGTAACTTTTCCACACCTTTTAGTAAAGGCAAGATAAAAAGTAGTATATAGTGCAGAATATTTATATATAAAATCAAAATTTATATTAATACTAATAAATATGTATGTATATAATCCATTAAACTAATTCAATGAGTTCTACAATTAACACCTTTGCACGCGAGATCCAATCAGATTATCTAAAATTTCATTAATGAATAATGTTGGAAATTCATGTATTGTTTGTATTCACTAATAACGAATAATGACTCAAACTTAAGATGTGCATATTTAATTGATTTAAAAAATTTAAATATTAAATCATATGTTAAATAAATTAAACAGTTGAGTGTGCTGTAATTTTCATAAAGTTGGACTAGTCACGATTCAGAAATTCAAAATAAAAATCTAGCGATACGGTCAGTTCTTCATTAAATTACTCATTTTGACAAGTAAACAATTCTTATTGATATTTGTTATATGATAGATAATAGTTTTGTTATATTTACGCGTTTTAAGTATTCAGAAATCATGTGTACTTCCCCATTCACATTGACAAATTCCAAATTTGCGCTCCATTGTGATTTCTATTAACAAAGCTGCGTATTAGTATCTAGTATCTTTTGCGGCGAGCGGCGTTTCGCATTTATTATTCTGGTTTGTTATTAACTTTTAATTTTGGGTAATTTCTATGTGTAACATTTCTTAACAAAAAAAAAGATATTAAAAGAATTATATATAGAATTAACCTTGAAGCAAACTTATGTTACGTCATTTTAATTATAAAATACTTTACTAAATTTATGGATGTACAGGAGGTTATGCGAATTGAAATTATTTTGAGAAATATGTTACGAAATTTTTGAACTTAAAATTACTTGACTCTTTTGGAGATCGAACTCTGATTGATGAATTAACTAATATACATTTAATAAATATTATTAAAATAATGATGTTTCTTAAGAAATAACGTTTTACCAATACTGAATAAATATATACGTACTAACATGTTTTTGCAGCATTACTTATATAAATGCTAGGGATCATCAATATGCTATTTTCGCTCACCAATTTTAATCATTAAGTGCACTTTATACCATAAGTAATGTAGTATTATTTTATATCTATCGTTTCATCTTTATCGATAATAATTTGAACAGTTTATAAAATATAATAGTATGTAATAATATAATGATAAAATATAAAAGTACTTAAATTTCATATTATTGTATATACATGGGGTTATCTATTACACAAACCTTATTTGGCAGCATTAGTTTAGTATTGTAAGCCAAATAGCATTTATTTAGTTTAATATTATATGATACAAAGATGGAGGCAATTTGTAGATAACCTTTCCCAGTATAGAGGCATCTTAGCTTGACGCTAAGCAAGGCTTAATAAAAATAAGGGTACATTTAACAACTGATAAAAGTGTGAAAATGCGTTAAGGTACACTGACAACATATATATTGACGATCTTTGTTCAATGAAGAGGTTTATTGCCACTTGGTGGAGCCTTGAAAACTATGAATGTGAAGTTTTTTTCATATCTAAGGTCTAAGTTATATATATAAAATATAAAATTGATCAAATGTTTAGTGGAACGTTTTTTTGGTAATATTCTTGATATCCAGTTGAGTGAGTAGAGAGGTATTATTAATACAGATTCTTGAAATTAAACATTATATGAACATTGAAAAGACGCTTGGAGTTCATCATTAATTGTTTATATTTACATTATTTGAAAACGTTTTAAAAATTTGTTGTAAAGTAAAAATTTTTTAAAAGTTCCTGTGAGTTTAGAAAATTAGGTATATCAGATACCTATTATCTGTGTTTAAGTCAGAGTAATAAATATAATGATTATATCTCTATGACAGATCAGGTGACGTTAGGTTACATTACTTGGTTTCATGAGTTCTCTCAGACACAGACTTAGTTAAAATAAATACTTTTTAGAGATGATTTTATAGATATAAATGTTTTTATAAATATAGTTCCGAATCTACTGGTTGATACTAAGATGCCATGTACATATGTTACCTGTGTGTCATCAAAAATACCAATTCAAGACTTGGTTGATAGGTATATAGTTCTACTGATGGTTGCCTACATGTTCATTTTAAAAATCACCACGAAGTTCCTAAGAAAGTCTTAGGCCATAGAACTGAGTTATAACATTAGAAAATTAAGATTGCTTTCTTAGTGTGAGCGTAAGACGTCCTAAATGAGTGAAAAATAAAGCAAAACGCTATCCGATTATGTTTAAATGTATGATAAAGGCAAATATGTTTTTGCTTGATGAAATCACTATTGGCTTTAATATATTAATGAACTAGTTTTAGGTTTAATCGTTTTTATTATACGCTAAGAAAGTTTCCAATTGATATTTAATTATTGACTTTCTACTACTTTTGCATAAAGCAATATCACAAAACTAAGCCGTATCTTGTTAAACACACATAACATATAACAGTTTTATGTTGAATAAAGTCTTTCATTAAAAGAAAGAAAGTTGTTTAATTTTTTTTTTCATTTTATTATTGAATTTTTTTTTTTTTGAATAAATTAAAAATCTTAAAAATCTTATTTAAATAACAAAAAAATTTTAAAATATTCCAATTTTTTTGTGGCAAGTGGTCCTTTATCTTCATATGCAAAAACGTATATGATTAAAATATAAACTTTCACATTTAACCATAGAAGCCATGATGATGATGGCGATGGCCACCATAAAAACCGCCGTAACCTGGGTAACCACCATAACCTCCACGATAACCACCAAATCCATAACCAGGATAACCGCCATATCCACCACGATAACCACCATAACCTGGGTAACCACCATATCCAAACTGACGTGCTTCACGTGCTCCTTCGTTTTCATGTCCTTGTACATCTACGGCTAACAGAGCATCAGCTTGATATTGTTCAGCATCATTGTTTTCAGCAATTGGAACGCCATAGGCCACTGCTGCGATCACCGCCAATGTAGCAAAACACACAAAGAAACGCATTGCGATGTTACAAATTTTACGACTCGTCTCAAGATACGTTTAGAATAAAAGCGTTTTGATTTCTCAATAGTTCATCACATAAGCTTTGAGTTTTTATACTAATTTTAGCTAACAGAGTTTTTATGAAACCATACAAATATATTCTGAGTTTTTTATTTTATTTTTTTTTCTATTTTTTTGCGCAAATAAAATATGTATAACGTAGGTTTTGTGCTGCTTCATTTTCTACAGGTACAGTAGACAGCTCTCTCCCTCCCATCAATTCATAGCGCTGAGCAATTTTTTGCAGATAAACTACAGAAGAACTTTATGAGGCCAATATCGGCATCAAAAGAAATTTTTTCTAAGCCGGGAATAATAAACTTTTACATAATTATGCAAAAACTGTTTCTAATTTTGGTGAATTATATTATTTATAAAAAAATCAAATTTTTATTTAAAATCATATATATGAGTATATTAAGAAAATTTTATTAATACGATCAGTTGCATTAAAAAAAATGATTTTCGGTAGCTTTTCTCAATTACATAGTCACATTTTTCTGAGAAGACAAGCTGTAGTTCTCATAGTTAATTTAGAGTTTTTCTTTATTTGACTTAAGAAGTAAATTTTAAAAACAACTACAAAACAACAAATAATAAAATTATTTTTGAAATGTGATGACTTTATCTGACAAGCCCCCATTTCAGTAACAAATGAAACAATAAGATTTCGCTACATATTCAACTGGTTTATTTAATTTATTACAAAATGAGTTTAACTATTAGAAGAATACATATGAGAAGTCTTACTTAAATAAATTATTTATAAGTATAATGTCAGATTCGATCTGACTTTATAGGATATAAAACCATGTCAAAAATATATTAATTAATGAAAAGTCAATTGCAGGTTATAGTTTCAAGTTATGCTATGAACTCAATTCATAGAATTAGTAAGATATAGTTAGAGGTTATGGGTCTTGTAATATTATTAGATAAAAAAATTTATTAAAATTATTTAACCAGAAGAATATACAAATATATCTAATCAAAGTAATGGCTATATTTAAACAACATTTTGATTTATCGAAAAAAAATTATTTAAATTATTTAAGCAGAAGCATATACATATGTGTCTGATCAAAGTAATGGCTATATATATAAAAATTGTTAACAATTCTTGATAAATCAAAGTCTTGATACTAAAAACAGTTATACACATTCGTCATCAATGACCAAGTTACTCTTACAACTCCTACCGCATTTCACCATTACTTGAAAGGAAAATTAAGCAAACGGGTTGTATGAATAATAGACTTGTCTTTATAAGATGATTAAGATTAAGATGTTTTTTATAATATGAAGTTTGGTATTTCTTGCACTGCGTTTGGTTTCTAGAAATGTGCCAAAAGTTGTAAACATACGATGCTTCACTGTTTTATATATCATACTTCACTTTCCTACAACAATTTTTTTTTGTTTTTTCTCCATATTATTACTCAGTATATTTTTTTTATTTTTTTCATTTTTTTAACGGCTGTTAGCGGGTATAATTTCTTTCGCAATATATTTGGCTGGCATTTTGGTTGTTGTTTATTTTAATGCATATGTTTGATCTAAATTGAATGTTTCTATTTACAAATTTTCCATATTTTATATGAAGTTGCTTTTTTATATGAGAATATGCTTTTTTTGTTTTTGTTTCAAATTAATAAAAGAGTGTCAAAAGTACTTAAATTTTAAAACTATAACGATTTTTTTTATACATAATAAAATTTCGCAAAAAACAATTTAGAATTGTTTATCTTTTTAGCGGGTATTTAATTTTTTTTTATGTTGGAGAATGTCAATAACATTAATTTAAAGTTTAATAAAATTTAAAAATTTAACCTTTGACTCTTTAATATATTATTCCTCCGAAAATTTTAGAAGTAAATTAGTTTATTTTAATCTAGAAAAATATTTTTGCTTTTCTATAGTTACTTCATTGCCATATATAGGGTCCAAACGTACTTCGAATTTTTTTTGTTTAATAATATTTCGAATGCATTCACAAGTAAATATATAATTAATTAAATATGTATACAAGATTTAATTAATATATGTTACATACCTATAAGCTATATTGTATACAGATAAGTTAATAAAATTATTTTTTTTAGTATTTTATATTCATTAAACTAATCTATAAGTTGCTTAATTATACTGGTAATATACATATATGTTTTAATTTTAAGATGTAGTGAACCAAAATTGAAATTATAAGAAAGAAAAATTTGGCAAAACCCATACAATAACTGTGTAATTATAATTTGAGAATGTTTAAATATTTTAATAAACATTTTTAAAGTAAAGTTACTAAATTATCTGACTAATCTAAATAAGTAATTTAAAATGCGAAGCATAACAAGTTTTTCTTAATTAATCCGAGGAATAGTTTCAAATTTTGAGTTGACTTAGCTCAATATTATTTAAGAGAACAGTTCTTGCAATTATATATTTTAAGTACATATGAAATATGAATTTGCTTACCAATTAGCAGTAAATTTAAAAATAAAAATATATAAAAACAGTCATAAAGAAATAATTTGTTAAGATAAATATTTAATATATAAATCTCATTAAATCGTTTTAAAAAACAATTAAAACCAAAAATTTAATTATTTTTATTATATATATTTACGTATATGTACTACAAAACCACATGTATGATTTACATATATCATTCATTTATTTAATCATATTGTATAGATTGTATAGGCTACATCATTAAAATAATCTTTTATCTGCATGTTTACAATATAATAACAGATTAAATTAAAATACTATTTGTTGTCAAGAATATCGAGTTTACAGATTAAGAAACAAACAAAAAAATCTGATTTGTTGGTTAAAGCGCAATTTAAACTTCAAAAAATTCAATTAACTTAAAATGTTAACAGTGGTGGCTCATAGACTAAACTATGTAAACTAAGAATAATAGACTGGGTTGTCCAGAATTTAATTAAAATAATGTAACTTAAGATTTTCTGAATCGAAAAAAATTGTATGCTGTTTAACACTGCTTATTTTTTTAAAATTTTAATTAATTAAGAATTTTGTTTGTATTTTTTACAGCCATATATGAGTGTTGGTAGACTTAGAATTACTTAGAGTAGCTTAAGTGGAGTAGAGGATGGTTATTATTTATGATAATAGTTTCATTCATGTGCTTTTTAAATCTTATTATGAAGTGTCTTAGTAAATTTTTTAAATTAATTTTTTTTGGTTTAATGTACTGTTTTCTTTGGTGAAGAAGTGCATAAAAAGAGTCATAGAATAGTTTGAGTTATATATACTCTTATGTACTATATAATACAATAATACTAACAAACTCAATATAATCTTTATAATGATTTATTGAACGTAGAAATTGTTTACTAAGTCATTGTAAACTTCTATGTAGAGTTTCATTTACAATTACTTACATATATTAATTAGTTATAATATTGTAAAAAAGAAAAGGTCATTGGTCTTAGTTCTTTACTTGTAAAACTTTTCTTTCTAAACTACCGCTTAAACAGATTAAAAAAGTTTAGATAAAGAAAAAAATAAGATTTTTTTATAAATAAATATGCCTACAGACTGATTATTAATTCCCATAGACAGGTAAGTTGTGCTAATTGGTTGAGACTACTCATAAACCCTATGTAGCATATCCATACCAGATTAGAGTCCTTAAAGATAGTTAAATGCAGTACATATTGTTTAAGTTGAATGTAACATTAACAAATTCACAATAAGAAATAAGAGAAAATAAGAAACAAAGGAGATGTTCCAGGGGTTTCTTGATGGCTTCTTCCTTAAATCGGGACTAGAATGAAGTTCATATTAAAGGTCAGATTAACGATTAGCTCCAAATAATTTCCTTAACTGGAGAGACTTGATAAGAAACAAAGGAGATGTTCCAGGGGTTTCTTGATGGCTTCTTCCTTACATATCCTCTTTTCGTCACTGCTAGCGATGTTTAGCTTATATACATTGTTGAAACCATATTTTTCCCTGTTAAAATATCAAATTGGCATTCTTCATAAAGACTTTGATGCAGTTTTCGTCGGACACCAGCGAGCTTACTGGTATGTCACATTGTATCTTTCCTTTCGCTTATTTTGTTCTCTGTAAGTTTGAGGCCATGCAGGTCTAACTCCTATAATTCCTATGCAGGTGCTGCATTTGGGGAGAAGAAAAAAATCACATTCTCTTTAAAAATGTCTTCCGTGTGTTAGTTTCTAACCATCCAAGTGTTATTATATCTTTGTTTGATCAGCTGCAGAATTACATTTTATACAGTACGGTGAACTGGTTCGTAGTCGAAATAGTTTAGAACTGACGCTTGGGATTTTTTAATTGGATAATACATTGAACTAATTTGGTTTTGCATTTACAAAGGTTTTCTATAGTTCGCTTCAATGGTTCAGAGAATTCTTGAAATACCGAATCGAACTGCTTTAGAATTAATGCAGATCACAGCCGTAACTTAAAATATAAATGAAGATGTTACTGCATTATAAACCAACTGTGATAAGCGTCCATTAGGGCTGACATTTAGGATTCATCGTAATGATGTCTAAGTAAATAATAGAGTAAAATTATAATATTTTTTAACAAACTATGAACACCTTTAATCACACATCAATGCTTTTTCAAAAATTATTAAACACAAGTTATAGAAAAATTGAATAATTTCAAAATAATTTCATATTTATATCTTATCTTGGAATGGCAATATACTATTATTATTAATAGTAATAATTATATGAATTGGCAAAAAAGTAATATTAATAACAATTATATTATTATTTTTTTTCTGGCAAAAAATAATTTAAATTGAAATAACTTTTTTTTAAACTAATATAATTTTGCCAATTATAATTATTGGTATTATTAAGTATATATAACACATTATTAGTTGTATTATTAATTTTCCTTCTGCTTCACTATTTGAATGTTCAAATGCACTGCTTTAAGATTAAAAAACACATATATATTTTTAATAATTTAGAATTAGATTCATTTTTATTATTTAAATTAATACTAATATTTTACACATATTAATTTGGTGATTCGTTTAACCATAGAAACCACCACCACCGGCACTTGCTGATGCACTAGCAGCGGCGCTACTGCCTCCATAACCGCCGCCAGGGTAACCGCCATATCCTCCTGGGAAGCCACCTCCAAAGCCACCTGGGTAGCCACCTCCAAATCCACCATAACCACCTGGGAAGCCACCACCATAACCGCCTAGGCCACCAAAGCCACCATAGCCACCATATCCTGGTAGTGGAACGGCATTACTTAAAGCCAAAACGCACAGAAGCACTAAACCGTATAGTAATGTGGATTTCATTTCAAAATTTATTAAATTTGCTTCTATAAAACAAATGTACGATCGAATGTTTTGTATTGAATAACTTTTCAATTCTGCGAATGATTGCAAAGATTTAAATATTTTATAGGTTCCAAAATCAGACCGAAATCAATATCGAGTGTAAAGCTTATGAATAAAAAATCCCAAAGTCCCACATACACGCTTCAATAAATCCACTTATATTAAGTCTTTTGTGTTTAATTTTGTTTGTTTTTTTTTTTAACAAACTTTATAAATCTCTCGTTTTAAATAAAAAATTGAATAAAATATTTTAATTTAAAAAGTGGTTCATCCCGTTTTACAAGTGGACTAAACAAATAAAAGACCGAAGAAAATATCAAAGTGGAAATTTCAAAAATCACACCAAAGAAATAGACAGAAGTCGAAAACCAAAACATAAACAAATTTGTTTATTTTTACATATATTTTAACACCTCAGTCAGAACTTAATTTAATCTCAAGCTTCACATAAATTATTTTTAATAGAAAATTCAATATAAAAATTTGCCTAATCTGCGTTGTCAGAGATTTAGCTTTTACGTTAAATTTACGATGTTCCCTGCGAAAAACAAACAAACTAAATCTTGTTTCTGAACTATACTTCGTATTCTTCAGATACTTTTCAAAAAGTCATTTGAGTCAATAAAAAAAGACTTCAAAATTAAATTCTAGTTTCAATTCTTAGTAATAAAAATTTTCATATAATTTATTATTAATATTATAATGTTACGCTAATTATGCATAGTTTATTTTCATTTGCGAAGTAAAGCAAATACTTGAAATAATAGTAGAATTAATTTTTAAATGTCTTGAAGATATTTTTTTATATATAATGCTTTTTAAGATTCATACGCTATAATTTTTGCAGCGGAGCCTAAAAATATTGTTAAAGATCTATAAGCTAGTAAAAGAAGTAGGTGTAGAATTAATAAGAAGGACTTTATCATATTGGAGTATAGTATAATCCAATCGCAAAGTAGTTAAAACATGCCTTGAACTTATTTCCAAAAGGATCTTAGTCAACTGCAATGTTAACCAGTAAAAAATATTTTATACTTTAATTAAAGTTTAAAATTAATTAATTAGTTGGAAATGATAATAAATTGTCTAAATTTTATACAGCAACATAATAATTTGATCTAATTTTTTAACAATTTTTGCAAACTTTTAAATATACGCTATATATTAGGGGAATATACATATACGCTTATATATATATATACGCTTACCTTTACAATCTAATTATAATATTTTATTATAATAATTCAATAAAATGAAACTAATTTATTATTTATTAGTCACGAAGTACTCCATAGATGACTGATGAGAGATGATTGATGACTGCTTTAAATGAAAAAATATAAAAATTTACATACATTAAAAATCATTCTTAATAATATTGAGTAGAATCAATAGGCGATTTAGTTTGAATTTATGGATATAGATTCTATAAGGATGCAGTACAAACTATAATCAATTAAAAAGTTTTTATAAACTTATAGTATGAAATATACAATTTGTATTTTTTAATTTTAATTCGCTTTAATTAAACTTTATAAATTAAACGTTGACAACTTACACTCAAGGATTACTACAAGGATTATTTTAAAAAATTTAATCTCGTTACATTTAAAATTTGCAATAGTTTACATGAGACTTCTTAATATGCAAAAGAAGATAACATTACCTGTACTCTTAGTTGATTTAGTATTTACTGACATTCATATTTATTAATGTAAGCATACATATGTACAGTACAAGAAGAATCAAGACAATAACACAGCAGCAGGAGTGATTTTTTCAGCTCTTACAGAATAGTGATATGTATAGTGTATTAATATTTATTTCCCTTATATGTTAGATCAAAAAAAAAAAAAAAAATGTAGGCAATAACAATTACTGTATTAAAAAAGTAACCGTGGTAAAAAGTAGAACAGGAAAATAAAATTTCCAATAAAATATTTTGAAATAAGAAATATTTTTTACAAAAAATTTTCTATTAAAATAATATAATGTAAAAAATGAATAGGAAAAAACCATTAGCGGCAATATAGTGTCGTCAACTTTTGCTCAAAATAATTAATAAAATTTTTTATTCAGAAATAGATCCTGATTTTTAGTGATTATAAAAATACAGACAATACACTTCAGATCAACAAAACCCGTAATCTCAAAAATATATTTTAAATCCTTTACAGATTTATGAATCAAAAACTGGGTTATTAACTGTATGTAGGAGATAACCTTGGAAGTTGCTTCTGATATGTAAAATTTACTGGTTATAAAATATTAACCATATTTACCCATATGTAAATTAAAATATTGAAAAATGCATATAATAATAAATAATTCCTTAATGTGCTAAAATTTGAAAAAAAGGGGAACTTTTCGCAGATAACTTGAAATCGAAAGTATGCCAAGCACTGTCAAAAATAAATATATACAAGTATTTGTTTTTCAATGAATTTTATTTTTATTAGTCATTTGTATTCTTTAATGTTTTCATTATTTATTTGCCATATGAACTTGCAGAAGCTGATGCTGATGCACTGGCTGAAGCACCACCATAACCACCTCTTCGACCAAAACCACCACCGGGATAGCGGCCAAAGCCGCCACCTGGAAAACCTCCATAACCACCACCTGGATAGCCTCCAAAACCACCACCTCCAAAACCACCGCCTGGATAACCTCCGTAACCACCACCAGGGAAGCCACCAAAACCGCCGAATCCACGAGCTACACGTACTTGCTGATCTTCAACATCAACGTTAAGTGGTTGGTCTACAGTATCCAAAGTTTCCAGCTGCTCCTGAACCGCTAGATGTGGATAACTATGTACTATAGCCAAAGTGGCTAACAGTACAACACAAAGTAAGAATTTCATACTGTTCATAAAAATTAATTTTTGACTTCTAACTTCTGGTATTGATTAAACAATTCTAATTTGTCTTTAAGTTATTGTACAGAATTTATACTTTAAAAATTTAAAAAAATAATAGAAAAAACTACATTATTAATTCTTATAAAAAACATATCATAAAAAGTAACTTCTTCTTTTCGTGAAGAATCCTATATTTTTTTTTAATATTTAATTGCATGATTAATTCGTTTTAGAATCCACAAAAATTGTACAGATTTTTTTGTATTATTTATTATTTTTTGTTTTACATTTTTTGTACAATACTTTTGACATAGTCTGACTGGTTCGAAGAACGCTTCTTCAAATCATTAATAATTATTACCAGTCAAAATTGTAACGTCAAAATCTTTAGCGATCTTATGACTTCAATTAAATTACAACAAAAAAGAAATAAACAACGAAAATAAGCTGTTTACATCAAATTTACCACAATTTGCCTTAAATAATTAGACAAAATCACCTGTTTTCATAAACAAAAAACGATTTAATAGTCCATTCACCCAGAAAATATTTCATTAGTTTCAAATTATAATTAATGTTTTTTTGTTGTATATTGATTTCGTCTTCTTTCATTTAAAAATTCCCACTTTTTACAATTCGGTAGATATTTTTTTGGCGAAGATTCGTTAATCTACTGCGTCACACATACAGTTTCACACTATATGTTAACTTGACTACAAGATATTCGAAAAAGATACAAAGCTTGAAAAACAAATAGTAGTAAATGTTACGTGCAAGTAAGGTTTTGGTTTTTTTGTCTTGTCTAGAACGACATAGATTTAACTTTTTTTAAATGTATTTTTAAAATGGGGAATCACCATGTCTGCTGAATTGCATTTTTTTAAAATATTTTAAGATTTTAATATTGACATTTATTTGAATTTATTAATTTGCATACGTAAGCTATAAATTGATTGTATTTGACAAGCAATTACAAATGGAAAAAAAATGTAAATTTGTATAAGATTTTCATTCATTAAGATAACTGACAATAAATATACAAGTACTAGATCGGATTATATTTTGATTTATTTTTTAAAGTTTACCTTTACAATTTTTTAAGAAATTGTCATTGGCATATGAAGAAAGCAATAGTTCCTATTTGTTTTTTAGTATATAAAAGTGACACTCTGCACTGTGGTCCATAAATTCGTTTCTCATATGACCTTCCAAGTCCAAAACGGTTTCTCTCTATCCCGCGATTACCCAGGGCCCGGCTCTCGGCCCCCTACTCTTTGTAGCAAACGTCACTCTCCGCAGACACTTGTCAAGCAAATCTGCTCCGCCGACGACTGCCCTGTCTTCATGCGGTCGTCTAATCCCAGCTACATTTCTAATGAGTTTCATGCCCACCTTGGATCTCTTTCTGACTTCTACATCAGGTGCAAAATTAAGTTCAACCCCAACAAAATCTCTGCTATAGCCTTTCTACGCCAACTGCGAGATCACTCCATAGGCTTTGTTACTTCAAACATTAAGCTAAGGCTCAACCATTCTCCCATTCAGCGTGATCCTAAGCTGAAATATTTTGGCATTGTCCTTTTTTCACAACATAATTTCAACCCTCACGTTGATTACGCCATCGTAACGCTGGTACTTTGGTAACTTTTCTTTTCTTACTCATTTTAAGTACTTTGAAAGAATGCTCGTCAAATTATAGCCGAGCTTTTGCCAGCTACGCAATTAATTGACATTCTAGATTTAGATTTCAAAAAAATGGGCTGGGAACTTATCACCACGTCACTGCATCCTTTGAGAATTGTTTTGACATACTCACTTTTGCTCCATAGACGGGTATCATTTATAAACGCCATTATATCTTTTAGAGAGATGTTGTCTCATTTCGTTATAAGTGATTCGACAGTTGATAAGTAACGAAGTCGAATGTGTTCTGCTGTTTCCTTTTCTTCGTAACAAAGTCTACAGCTATCGTCTCGACATTCTAAGGAAAAGGTTTGTTGTATTTCATACCTAATATGAATGTTTAAAAAATACATTGAAATAAAAAATTGATCAAAATCTCAATTGCAAGTAGACTTTATTCACATATACACATTGTACACATTGTATATTCGTATGATCACTACCCCAGCCAATAACTTATTTTTATTTGTTTTTTATTATTCATTTTTATTTGCATTAACTATCACATTATCGCAATATAAAAACTAATTTATACTCAAATAAATAATGATGCCTAATTAATATTTCAACATTTTAAATAAAAGTCAGAGAAGCAGCTTTCTTTACGAAACGAAAGTTGCATATAAATAAATGCACGGAGTTATCCATCATTTTACGAAAGTTGTAATATACACAATACTACACTATAAATTAAATTATACTATAACTATTAGATATTTAAATAATATGGTATTTATATTAATATGCTGCTTTGATTTTTTGAATAAAATTACACCAACCTAAAATATTTTTATATTAATTTAGTGTAAGTGGAGATAAGGTGACTAAAACGTCTTAAGGGATATTACCAAATTTGATGCAGCTATACACACTTTATATAATAATATATATGTGAGCCTAATAAGTGTTAAAAAAAACTGTTTAAAAACGTCATGTGACTTTGCAAAACAAGCAAAAAAAAATCTTATTTAAAAAACATTTGTATCTAAATAAAACCACAAACTACGATTAAGATTTGCATATATTAACATTTATTAAAAACAAAGAAAAGAAAAATTTATTGTATATTGCTTTAAAACAAACAAAATTTAAACGAAACAAACGAAATTTAAAATTAGATACAATACAAATTTAATTTAGTATATATATATAAGTATATATTTAAGTCAATATAAACATATCCTTTTTTTACATTAATAATTTAATGTGAGAATATCGGTGCTTAAACTTCAATCTATGTAAAGTGATGAATGATATCATTAGATAGTTGTGCTTTCATTTAACACTTATTTCTAAACATTAAGAAATTAATTAAAAAAATTTGATTTTGATAATTTTTTGTTATACCTATAAGTATTTACTATATTTACTATATTTTTATTTTTTACTAGAGGCAAGAATTAATTGAGAAAAATTTTTAAAAATGAATATAATCAGAACAAAAGAAAACTAATGTAATAGTAAGTTTTCTCTGAATTCGTTAGACCAGTTAACTTCCCTGAGATTCAAGTAATTCAAAGAATCTTAAGTAACAAAATTCAATCCAGTAATTCAAGCACTGCTCTAACAAAGTCAGTGGAAATATATTATAATTGTGAGTTTTAGATTAAATCCAATTTACAGCTTATTTTGGGAATGTTTTGTTAAGTGTTAAAAACTTGAAAAATTATAATACCTGTAATAAAAATAAACAATAAAAAATGGCAATAAAAATATATCTATTGTGTATCAGCATAACAATCTTGAAAAATTCTTTTAAATAAAAAATATATAAAGGGAGTCCCTTTATAAAAATAAATATATCATTTGATAAATAAAATTTAATTTTTTTTTGGTTAAGTTGATCTTCTAAATATATAAAGTTTTTTTTTTTTAGTTATATATTTATTACTACAAATTATCAATTGACTAAAATAAAAACACACAATCACATCTCTCTATAACAATATTTAATTAGTAATTTTTTTTGTACGATTATACATGCAACCATTTTAATATGTAATTTATTAATTATATTCAAAGTAACAACTTCCACAAATTTATGTTCCTTATATGTTGGATATTGTGCGAAAACCCCAATGCCACGAGTTCTTAACCTTTAGTTTTAGTGCGAAATCAAAATTCGTAATCAGAACATCATCACTTCATTTATGATGATCATCTGTCAGCAATTTTATGTGGGGTGTAATTTATTTATATTTGTTAAATAGTCAGTGGCGTGTTCGATGTTTTTTAATAAAATAAATTATGATGAAAATTATAGCTAATTAGAGTAATATAATATAATGATTAAAATACTAAATGAACAATTTGATAGTATTATATCTTACTGAATTATATGTTCAAGAAAATATTATTTAAATAAGTATTTAGAAATGAAGACATAATACATCCAGACATAATAATGACATAAATCAGTTTCTGCCTGGATAGAGTTGAGGACTTCTACCTACATTCTTCGTGATAATGCTGCCTTGAGTTAAGCGCGATGCAGACTTGCGGTTTTGATTGTCATCCCAGTTGCGCTTTCTTTTGCTCAAATTTATTCTAGCGACTGAACTTGAACATGTTCAGATTCGAGAGCTGTCATTTAAGCAAAATTTTTGAAGAATAAGGTTGTTTACGCACGCTGTAAATGTGTTAGTGCAAGCATGCAAAAATATGCTCTTGAATGACGAATGCAAGATTTTGGGTGACAGACTATCATTCATAACATGTTGGCGAGCAACTGAATGATGTGCTCACCAAAATTTTGGATAAACTTATCTATGAATAAAATTAAAATAAACAAAAACAAATAAATTGTATTGTAAGGTAAACGCCACTGTCATTGTTTAATTTGATTTCAGTGTACAAATAAGATACTTTTTTTTTTTTGATCTCACAAAATAAGATATATGAATATTTTAAGAAGACAAGTTTTCGATGAAATGAGAAGTTCGTGAACGAGTTTTGTACTTAGTAATAATATCTATTCCTCACAAAAGTGTAAGTGAACAATAATAAAATTGTACACCAATTTTGCAAATAGTAAATATAATATTATTTTTATTGAAAATTAAAATAAGTTCAAAATATTTATTAAGAAAAAACATAAAATTTAATTGAGTTCATTAGTGAAAACACCCATCTTTTTTTGGCAACTGTTGAAATCACGCAAATTTGAATAACCCGTGCATCTACGGAAGTAAAGACAAATAAAAATTTCAGTATTTTTATTTATGATAACCAAACCAAAATCGACAAAGTCAATGTCAGTGCCGAGACGATTTGGCGCCACATGAATGCGTTCAAATCATTGACAGAAAACCAGCAAATGCCGAAACCAGTTGATGACGAAGAGTTTCTTTGGATTCACTGAACACAAAACATAAAGTTATTTACCAAAATGTTTCGCAGATCTGAAGGTCTTCAAGTCGTGAGTCTTAGTGTTATGGCTCACTGGAAGATCAAAAATTTTCCACTTAAAATTTTATAAAAATAAGAACATTTGTCTGCGACAAATTTAGTTATATCGTGTTAAGTTTCGTAAGAGGATAGACTGGAAGTTGCTATTTTGTATCAAAAACATAAAGAAATGAATTTATTTATTAAAATCATTATAATAAGTGCATTAATAGCATCAGTTGCATGCCAAACCTCCAGAAAAACAACAAAAAACAACAAGAATGCAAATTCGAACCGATCCAGTAACAAAGATGAGGAAGCCAGAACACTTGGTCTATTAAGACCATTAATTGGTCTTGGATTAGGTGGTGCGCTTGGTGGTGGCTTAGGCGGTGGTTTAGGCGGTGGATTACCTGGTATTAGACCACCTGTTAGTTATGATGTACCAATTCAGCCTATAAGACCACCAAAACGCAAACGTCCAGGAGTTAATGGAAATACACAGTCAGATCCGATTTATGGCGGTTACGGTGGATATCCTTATTATGGCGGAGGCTATCAGCAACAGTTTGGTTATCCAGGTTTTGGTGGCTATGGCGGTGGTTATTATCGTCCACAACCAGTGGCATATCCAGGATATGGTGCCGCATATCCAAACTATGGAGGTTTTGGTGGAAATCAGTTTGGCTATGGAGGCTATCAACAACCAGCTTACGGAGGATTGGGCGGATTGGGCGGAGTGAGTAATTTTGCAGGCTTAGCTACAAATACTGCAGGTAATGGTGCTAGTGTGAGCACTGCTATTGATGGAGCCACTGCAAGTGGTCCTGCTAACACAGCACAAGCTGCACAACTAGCTGGTTTACTAGGACAAGCGCTAGGAAGTAGTTTAAGGCCCTTACTTGCTAATGGAGGAGCTGCAGGTGCCGCAGGTGTACCAGGTGCAGCAGGAGCAACACCGGGTGGTGCAAATCCATTAGCTGGTCTTTTAAGTTTATTGGGCTAAGCAGTATTAATCTTTTTGTTTATTATATAAGTTAAAATTGTTATATTAGCTAAAGTATGGCTTAGTTAAATTTGTTGTTGTTTTTGTGTTTAATAGTATTTATTAATTTGCAATATTTGCATAGATGTGCAATGAATCGCATCGCTTTTTCGTGAAATGTGAAATTATTTAATAAATGAATTATTGAAAATTAATTTTAAAATGAACTATCGTATCAATTTTTTAATAAAATATTAAAAAATGTGAGTTGACTTTGATGTTTGCCGAGTGGAGATGTCTTTGTTATTACACAATTTCTCAGTGAATCAGAACGATAAAAAGATAAAAAATTAATAAAAAAAATATATATTAATTTTAATACTAAAATTTAACAGATAATATATAGTGAAGAATATTTTATAATATTTTATTAAAATTCATAATGCCACATATTACTTATGAGAAAAATATTTTTTTTCATCGACTCTTTCATGTTATGTGATCTAATATAGTATAAATAATTGTATATATTATTAATAAATAAAACTTTTATTATTTTTATTTTTCGTTTTCTTATTATTATCAATTTTTTTTTGCGATTGCAACTGATGAATTTTAATAATACATACGTAAGAGGTTCATGAAGAGGTGCATTTTTAGACTAAATGCTAAAGAACAAAAAATTTGATACTTCTTTGTACCGTATAAGCTTAGGTTAAAATAGATTCTAATGGTGATTGGTAACAATTTTAGAAAATAGTTTTTCCTAATTATGAAAAATAAATGAAAATGTGCAAACAAAATTATTAGATACGATCTTTGAACATTTTATAATATAATAACTTTCCTTGTTGGTTGACAATTGATGGCAAAAAAATGGAGCGATTAGAACCAATCAAGTTTTTGATAATTATTTGTAATTGGGTTTATAAAGGATGAAAGTATTAATAAAAAGATAACTGATTATTTTGATTTCATTTACTTAATATTTGTACAAAGAAATCGTAAAAGTATGGAAACGGAATAATATAGCAATTGTTCCCATAATAATGGCATAATAAAATATAATAATAAATAATAAAGCGAACGATCTTATATATACGGTCTGTACAGAGACAGAGACATTTACAGGAAAAATGCTGATAGTCCAACATATATTTAATAGTGCCTGTGTTATTCCGGCTATAATCTATAGAGAATATATAGGTATTAGATACAAAATTCATATAACAAAGCACTTTACTGTGCTTATAAAAATTTATGTGCTACAATTTAGTAGGGCGGCGCCACTTAATCAGATTAGATTTCATAATCGTCCGGAAATTACAACAGCCTTTCCATTGCTGCTGCAAGTCCATCTATAAAAAACAATATATCGAACCTAGAATGACAAACCTAGCTAATACCTCTAGATTACTCACATATATAGAACAGAGAAAGAATAATTATTAAACTTAGAGTTCTCTATATCTGGAAAGTGGATTTAGCACATATATGTCTGGGTTATGCAAAAATTTGTGATTATCAGTACCTGTTAAAGAATTCGAAATATCATAAACGCTAATTATTATAAGTCTGAAGTTTTGTAGAGTTTGTATTACATTCTATATTGAACTAAGAAAAAAAAAGTAATAATAATAATATAATAAATTAATATAATTTATATTATATAAAATATATTAATATTTATATTATTGTAAATTAAATATATCAAAAAAAATTTTTTTTGGCGTAATTAATGAATATCTATCTATTGGTATCAATATATTTATTATGTTTTTATTTTAAATTATAAATAAAAATATATTAAATTATAAATATATATTAAAATGTATACACATAGTATTTGATACAATAACTTTACACTTATCTAGCCGAATTTTGGGCGAATTTTAGTTTTGCACAAAAACAGTCTTTGAAGTTTGAAATTTACCTAATAAACATAAATGTGAGCATCAAACATTTTACTATTGGATTAAATATTAAAAATTACCTGAAAGTAATTATAGTTAAGAATATTGGAGTTCAAGTGAAAAACAAAAATTATGTTATTAAAATCATTTAAATGCTATACTTTATAAAAGCGGTAACAATAAAAACGAGTATAAACGATTTCCAGGAAAAGAATCAAACAAAATTGTACTTGAGATAAAAAAAGTTATCTTAAATGCGAAAATAATGAAAATCATCAAAAGTGCTTAAATTGATAAATAACAAAAATAATTGAACAGTGAAAAAACTCTATTGAATTCTATTCAGTTAAGGTTTATATAAAAAAAAAACTAATAAGTATCAAAAATCATATAAAAGTCTGATATTCAGTTCAATCTTGAACAGTTTTAACGAGGACCGTACAAGACACAAAATCCAAAGAAGAAAATGGTAATGATATATAGAATAGCAAGTTTTCTAGTACTTGGATTATTTACGGCTACTATTACTGCGAAACCCGATATAAATGATTATGAACAAGATAGTTTGCTTCGTTCAAAACGGCAATTTAATTTCCTAAGTGGAGGTGGTGGAGGTCAAAGCGGAGGTCTAAGCAGCTTGTTCCAACAACCAACTAATTTCTTTCGTCAAACATTAGGCGGAGGTGGTGGTAGCGGTCGACAGAGTGGTAGAGGGGGTTTGACTTCTGGTTTACCCTTTTTAGGCGGAGGTGGAGGGAGCAATGGTTTAACTTCTGGAATTCCATTTCTTGGCGGTGGTAGGGGTAATGGCGGTAACAGTGCTAGACGAGGAAGTAGTCGCTTATCTTCCAGCTTACCGTTTTTAGGAAATAGTGGTGGCCTAACGTCTGGATTACCGAATTTAAGTAGTCTAACTAGCAGCTTAGGAGGTGGTGGAGGAAGGGGAAGTCAGAGAAACATGGGTGGTGCCAGTGGCGGAGGGAATTTATTTAGTCTTTTCGGTGGAAAGTAAAGAAGTTATTACCATTTATTATGTAAAAATTTGTAGGAATAAGTTACAAAAAAATAATATTATAATAATCGTAATGAATCGCAAAATTTACTTAACTTATTCATGCAGTTTTGTTATAATTGGTTAATGTATCCCTTACCGAAAAAGTTTATTTAACTATTAAAAATAACGAACAATATAAAACATTAAAGTACTAAAAATGATAATAAAATAACTAACTATAATAAAATCAATAGTATATTTACTTAACTTATTTAATATTGTAATTAATGTACAGAATATTTGCTTTAATACGCATATTGGACTTCAAAATATAAAAAGTGTACTACATTCTGTATAAAAAATTTTGGTTTAAAAAGATATCTATAAAACATACCGGCACAATGTACCACCTGCCTACAGTGTACCTTGTTATCAGACAACTTTCAACCATAACGAGTATGTTAATAAATGATTATTTTTTTGGTCTAAAAGATTAAGCTGTCACTTTAAGAAAAGACGCTTTGAAACAATTACGTCCATAAAAAATAAATTTCTGAAAGACTTCAAGACAAAATCTTGATCGGACTACGAAATATGTATGGGAGATTGGATGGGATATTGGAACAAGCGTCGACATAGTTGTGTTGCCGTCGCCGGGGCCAATGTTGAGATAGCAAAATAATTGTCAACAGATGGCTTGACTGCAAATATTTATTTTTTTAAAGTTCTGTTCACTTTAGAATACACATGTATTAATATATATATATATTATATCATTTTTTTACTCTGAACATAAATTTGAAATTATGCGAAATGTCTGTGAAAAAACCAAATTTTACTACGCCATTGTTTAACACATTATTATAAAAGATATTAGTAAAGATTTTTAGTATTCATGCTTTGCTTAATATTATTCCATAAAAGAATATGTTGTAATTGTATTTAAATATTGCAGTTCTCCTAATTAAAATTGCTAATTTTTACTTTGAATTTAGACATTAGTTATTTTAATTGCCTTAAAAATGTACAACAAATTTTTGATGACGTACTCTGTATTTGCAATATGCATTTTGTTAACAAAATAAGATAAACAAAAAAACATTAGCTTTAATAATTATTAATTGTTTATGAAAACACATTACTTTATATTGCATAATATCATGGGTTTTGGAGACATATATCAGTTAATAACTAATATTAACAACGTCAGCATTACGTTAATTAATTATTTGAAAGGTTCTTACCCATCGATTGTTTTGATGAACAATTACAAAAACAGTTTACAATTAAAAATTTCACAGATTCAAATGTTTGTAATATAAAATAACAAAAACAATTCAAAGTATTACTTATGAGCTTCCATATAAAAGCACTGCGATCCTACGCATTATTCCAGTGCAAATTTGCAATTTAGCGGACTCGGAACGAGAAGTTACTATTACGAAATGCGCTTGTTTTTAGTATTGGCGGTTATTGCAACCTTTTGCTGCCTACATGTCGTGAAATCAGTCGGGGCAAGTCCAGCTGAAGGTGTTAATGCCGATAGTAACGTGAACGCGGCCAACAGTTTGGATGACTTAGCAGATCTTGGCGATGAGCATGGAAATGAAGGTGACAGAAATGCACGTCAATGGGGCTATGGCGGTCGGCGTAGATGGGGCGGAGGCTGGGGCGGAGGATATGGCGGTTATGGAGGTGGATGGGGTGGTGGTTATAGACGCGGATGGGGTGGTGGCTGGGGAGGCGGCTACAGACGCGGTTATTGGGGTTAAATTACTAGTGCACGTGTTAAGCAAATTATTATTTGTCACAAATGATAGTAATATTGTATACTCTTATGTGCGAGTTTTTAATTATTAAAAGTTCAATGTTTTATTATTAAAAATCGTTTGGAATATTATGGATATATATATTATTAACTCTATGGCTTATAAAGTGAATAAATTAAATGTATAATCTGTGTTTAATAAATGCATAAAAGTTAATTGAAAATTAAACATAAATGTTTTAAATGTAAATCAACGATGTTATCTGCTATGGAAGTGTATAGGTATATATATGTAACGGAATAAGATTATTCAATCCTATGAATATGCACCTTAATTCCTTATTATTTAATTATTTGCACTTTTCTTATATGTACATTGTCAAAGAAATTTTCTTTCTCTAAATCTAAACTTTTGGAAAATGTAAGAATGGCTTGAACAAGTTTTCATTAATACTTATGAACTAAAATGGTAAGGGATATAATGAACCAAACCATATATTATTTAAAAGATTTTTTCAAGAAGCTTGTGATTTGAACATTAGTAATCAACATACTATAGATTCGATATAATGTGACAGAAATAATTACTTTATCACTTAATAGATTAAATCTTTTTCGAACTTCTAATTACCTACATGGAAATCAGATAAAAAATAACACTAATACTAATAATATAATAAAATTATTTAATTAATTATTAATTTCATAAAACCACAAAAAAGATAAGATAATAAAATAAAGATAATAACAATAATAAGATAATAAAAAGATAATAAAATTTTAATTTTTGAATATTTATCAAATTATGATATTTACATAATTTAAAAAAATATTTAAGACGGTAGCAATAGTAAGTAAATTTTCTAATCTGAAAATTAATATTAAATCAGATGAAATTTATGAGCTGACCTAACAGACCTAATGTTCGAAATTGAATAAAAAACAACAATTAATAGTTAAGTGCATATACATATGGTAATATGTATATAGCTGTGATTTGAGAGTTTGTTTTAATTAAAGTACACCAAGTGCATTTGTTGGTTAAGAAATAGGAATAAGGTTGGCTCAATGTGCTTCGATATCTAGCCCCTACAGTGCAAAAATTATGTACGAATAATTGGATCAATAAGATTTGCTATGAAAAACAATAATGGATATTTAATAATATCTAAATCAACTGTATGCTCTGCTAAAAAAATTTAATTGATTTAAAATAATATTTTAATAAATCAAAATTCCTTACTATTACTTCTTTGTCTATTTAAACTAGATTTCTAGTCATAAATTATATAATTTTTTAATTACAAATTTATGAATTATATAATTTTTAATTATAAAACTTATAATCTGCTTTTTTCTTTTCATATATGAAATGACAAAAACTAAAACCTACGGTGTGGCTCAATTTAATTTTTTTATAAACAAGCCCAGTTATATCAGCTGGCAAAAATAATAATTAAGCGCTATGTTGAGAAAAAAAGCAATTGGGTACCGAAGAAACCAATACAATAAAGTGTAAAATAATAAATAATATTTTACAAAATAATAATAATTGTTATAATAATTGACATTTCAACAAATTATTTAATTAAAGAATGCATATATGCAGATTATATTTTAGCTGTAGTTGTCCCGATAATAATGATAAAAGGGTTTTTTTTATTTTGTGATATTAAAAGGATGCTACTAACTTATTTTGGAATATGTATTCTTTATATATTTTTTCCTTTTAAAACATCAAGTAGTAGTAGTAGTGACAGTTTCCTTTGTCAACATAGCTTTTCACCTATGTTATGTTCGTAAGAAATATTATTTTGCAAATAAGTACTTATTATTAATAATATAAATTAATAGAAAATTAATTTAGTTATTTTTCTTATAGGACTTTGTATCAATTTATTCTGTATACACAATATTCCTAATAATTTGTTTCTCACTTCACAACTGGAGTAAATTTTGTTAGCTGTGTTTTTATTAATGTAATTAAACATGAGTGCTTATATGCGCATATATGAATGTAAGTTAATGTCATACTTTAGAATCACGGATTCTTAACTTATATATATATTTTAGTTTAGAAACTATTTTTTCCATTTTTTCCTTATCACGAGTAATACAAAAGCTCTTATACTTTTATTATTATTTTTTTTATGTTAGTAATATTACGTATATGTGCATATAATTACGTATATGTGCATACAGGAATGTAAGTTAATATCAAGTTTTATTAAACTACATTTATTTTATTTTTTAATAATAGGAATTGGAAAAATGAATTTATATTCAGTTCATTTTTCAAGATATTAAATTTATTAAATATAAACTTAATGATTAAATTATTCAAAAATATGATTCTGCAGATATTTTGTTTAAAGAAATTTACAATATTTTATCTTACAGTTTCTCGCATCTTGCCGAACTACAATTACTAGGCTAATAGTACAGTAATTAAAATAATTTCTTTATTTAATAGTATGATTTATTTTTTAAATTTGAATAAAAATTAATAATTGAATAACAATTAATCAATGAATACTACTGAAGTGCTTCTGAGTGATTGTTGATGCTGAATGTCAATACTTATCAAAGTATCTACTGGTTTTATTTATAAGTGGTTTTCCCTAATGTTTTGTTACATTTTGTTATAGTTTTAAAACCGAATATATTTATTAATAAAAAGCAATAACAATAAATTAATCAAAAGCTGCTAAGCAGGTAATGAACAAAATTATATCAAATTTATGCAAATTAATAAAAAGCGACAAAAAAAATGTATAAGTAATTGATAATTTGTGCATATTCTATTCACAGAAATATTTCTATTACTTCTGAAAGTAATAATAAATACGACATTTCAGTAAAAATCTAAATTCCGTAGAAATAATAGCAAGTGAAAAAAAAAACGTACTGAAAAATAAAATAATTAAATAAAAAAGATTTCGTTTTACCTATGAGCAGTTACAGTACCCTTCAATACTTGCATACTATATGATACGATGTGATAGAACTTCCTTATTTATTTCAATCACTCCTAAAGAATCATAGTGCCTTATATACATAGGTATATGTAGGAAAAATATAATATAATATAATATGATCATTTATTCTAATAAGTGATTTAAGTGTAATTAAAAGAGTACAATATTTTAGTTTAAAATTTAAATATGTATTCTATATTGCTTATATACGAATACATACGGTACAAAACAAAACAACTTACCAGCTATTTTATCCTCAACTGATGTTTGTAGAATATTTAAACTTGTCGCAGCATATCGTATAACTTTAAATGAGATGTTGATGCCTTTATTGGTGAACTCGAAGTAGGTATCGAATCAGACACACATTCCTGGGAACTATAGCGAACACGAACTGCCTAGAAACCACACACGACTTCGCATTACATAAATATCATTATATGTTGATGCCTTTATTGGTGAACTCGAAGTAGGTATCGAATCAGACACACATTCCTGGGAACTATAGCGAAGACGAACTGCATAGAAACCACACACGACTTCGCAGTACATAAATATCAATATATGTGGACTTCTCTTTAGCTATATGAACAAAATAAAATGTCCAACTAAAGTTGACTAGAATAATATACATGTCACCCTACGTACTATATGACTTCACCACCTCAATAAGAATAAAACTGAGGAATTGGTTGATGTCGATCAGTTCTCAATCTGAAGTTATTTTTGTAGCCTACGTTAGTATTTTGCTTCATGAGTCACCATACTAAGTGTATAGCACTTGGTCTCCTAAAATGACGTGTGACTCTGGGATGAGGACCCGGCTATTGTTATAGTCGTACATTGTCTAATGGGCAAACATGCCAAATGGCTAAAGTTTTTCTTCAAATAGTGCAGTCAGACTTCTATAACTATTGAGCTATTTTTTTTTGTTTATATTGTGATCCGATGTGAACAGTGTAGGTACTAAAGGCATTGCTTATGCCTCATAGAGCCGACACAGTGGTTTTACAGTTCAGTATAAGAGTACCTTTACCAGAAGTCTTTTAACTGTAAAATCACCTAAGTGAATAGAATTCATTTTCTAACATATATTAGTCTTTACTAAAAATCTCAGTTAACATTTAGTTAAAATTTAAATGAGTTCTTACAAATTGTATATATGGTTATTCGGAAAATAAATTAATCATTATAAAGTTTAAATAAAAATCGATGTTTATATTATTGAGCAAGTATTAACTTTCACTTCAGATTTTTCTCTTGAAGACAGTTCCAATTTTTAAAATCATTCATATTTATTTTATGTGTAAACAATAATTGACATTAGATACCTTCGCTTTATTAATCGTAAAGAGAATAAATACTTTTATTGACGAAACGTGACTACTTTTTTATTGAGTTTGAAGATTACTTTAATTACACTTTATAGTCGAATACTGCATATTGTATCTGGAATATTAAACACTGTTTTGAATCGTGTCTCATATAAAAAAGCTGTACATATGGATTGCACTTCAATTTTCTTACTTGTGGTATTTATCTATAAGATAACTTAAAGATTGATTTATACTTAAGTAGTTAATTATTTTAAGTGTTAATTTTGTAATAACTTTATGGTTTTTTGGATAGATGGACTAGAGATGAATATACCATTCTTTTTTTCGGATATGTAATATAAGAAAAATTAGAAATAGATTCAAGAGTTCTCTGTACTACATTGTGACCGAAAGGTTTTCGGAGGTTCTCATTTAAAATTCGCGCGCTGTATATTTTTCGATATTTTAAGTTTATGTAGTTTGGCAGCACTGTCCTTAATTACTATGCCAAAAATGAGCGCGATCTGTCAGACAGTTCGTTTACGGCAGCTGTTGAAACCAGTTCACCTCAGTAGTGCGTTGCGAAAAAAACAATGGAAAAAAATATTGAACAAAGAGTTTGCATCAAATTTTGTTTTTCGAACGAAATTTCGTGTGCAGAATCGTTGCGAATGCTACAAAAGGCTTATGGGGAATCAGTTTTATCGAAAACTCAAGTTTATGAGTGGTACAAAGCCTTTCAGGACTGTCGTACGACCGTCGAAGACATGCCGCGTTCTGGACGACCTTCGACCTCTACCACCGACGAAAACATTGAAAAGGCAAAGGAAATCGTGTTCAAAAATCCTCATGTGAGTGTTAGAGAGATAGCACGAGAGCTAGGCATCGGTCGTGAGATGGCTCGTTTGATTTTGGTGGACAATTTGTGTATGCGACGTGTCAACGCCCGGCTTGTTCCGATTCACCTCAATTTGTTCAACATTATCAACGATTTTAAGGCCAAACATTCAATAAATACCATCGAACAGCCACCGTATTCACCTGATCTTGCACCGTGTGACTTTTTCCTGTTTCCCAACCTCAAATTACCACTCAGAGGAACGCGTTTTGAATCCATAGAAGACGTAAAACAGAATTCGCAGAGGGAACTCAAAGCCATACCGGAAAGCGCCTATAAAAAATGTTTTGATGATTGAAGAAACGTTTGGCATTTGTGTATCGCTTCTAATGAGCATATTTTGAAGGAGATAAAATAAATATTGATGAAGATTAAGAATTTTGCGTTTTATTTATTTATGACCGGAAACTTTTCGGTCACAATGTATAATCTTTACCGAAAGTATTTCAAACGTTATAATTTAATAATTATCGAATCCTTTATATCAGTAATGTTTGAAGTCTTTTAATATATGATAGATATATGATAAATGAATAATCTTAAGTGTGGAAAATGTCATAAATGTTGGTGTTTTTTAATATTTATATTTTATTTACAATTCCAATCAATTAATTTTTTTATGGTACATTTTTATTTATTCGAAAAAAAATTAAAACTTAGATCAAATTCGAATGCAAATCAGGTTATATACAATCAAAAATGATTACTTTTGTTAATTCGATTGAGATGTTTGTTTTGTGTATTGTTATTGTAATTTTGTTGTTTCACTTTTTATTATTATTATTATTATTTTTTGTTTTTAGAAGCGCAAAACCACAACAATAAACAAATTTTTAGAATATACGCCATCATTCTGCAAAAAATTCAAATTTCTTAATAATTTGGAATTGCTATAAAAGCGTTTGCTCAGTAACTTCAAAGATAGTCTCAACACAAATTTCAAACAAATCAATTCAAAAATGCGTTTCACTCTTATTGCAATTACTTTGCTTGGATTAGTGGCCATAGCGTTGGCACAACACGTTGATAACGAAGAAATCACACTCTTTAACGTTGATCCATCAGCCGTCGAATATGAAAACGCTGGACCACGTGTAGTACGTCAGTTCGGTTTTGGACGCGGTGGATATGGTGGCTATGGAGGATATGGAGGATATGGAGGCTTTGGTGGTTTCGGACATAGACATGGTGGTTTTGGTGGTTTCGGTCGTGGTGGTTATGGAGGATATTATGGTTAAAAAATTATTGTTGAATGAAAAATAAAAAAAAAATTCTAATAAATTGATTGTAAATTTAACTAAATTATTTGTGTCTTAATTTTGCTCCGATTATTATGGTACCTTTTTATATTATAAGAATGAAATATAGATAAATAAAATTAATTTTTTTGATATTGAGAGTGTATAATAATTTAGAGAGTATAAGAATATTAGTGATCACGAGTTCAATATCATCATCATTGGCAACTTATATAAAGCAACTGTGTACATGACAGATACTGTGTAAGGTATCAAAAAATAAGATGTCTTGGTGGCTATAAGATATAGTATACATATAAAACTTTCATTATTTAAACACAAAAGTGAAAGTTCATATTGCACCCGATTTCCTTTGATTAGAAAAAATGCTTTTATATTGTCTTGATTTTTGTACGTAAGAAATTTTACCTTTATGTTTTGTTGCTAAAGAGATGTATATATTTAATTTCTTAATTTATCACACTCATATTTATTATTTTCTTTTATTGATTAATATCAAAATCAATAATAACTGCAATAACATTGCTTAATAATAAAGTTTTGGTTTAAAGTATGCTCAAACCCTAAAGTGATAAATAAAAAATAAAGGTGTGGGAATAGTCGATCTAATCAACCAGTAGTTTCTAATTGAATACAGATAGTTTATTAAAGGTGATTGAGACGATAGGTAAATGTTCCAATTGAGTCACAATGTTTCCCGGACCCATAAAATGCCCCAATATATTTGTTTAAACAGTTTTTTCAATATAAATAAAAATGATTTTTTTACTAAGATGTCTTGGTGGTTATAAGATATAGCCACCAAGACATAAGATATTTTTTTAGGCAAGGATATTATATCTAAGAAATTAGTCTTGGATATAGAATATTAAATAATTAAAATTAGTTGTTTGCTTGACTCAGATTTGCAGAACAATAAGGTCATTAAATATTTTTCTGAGTTAAGTTTCACTTATGATAGTAGTAGGGTCTCCAGATAATTAATTAACGTACTGTGTATATATTTTCTCAATGTTGCTTTACAATGCACGAGTTTTGCTTAATTATATTATATTTTTAGTAATTATAATCAAATTAAAGTACTTAATTTAAGTATCCAAAAAAAGTTCATATATATGGTAAAATTTTGATGCAGTTTGCCAAGTGCAACTAAATCAACTCTACTTGAAGCAGAAATCGTGAATGATGATCGAAATCGTGATGAAATACTACCTCGATCTTTTACAATACATCAATGTAACAATAAGATGATGTAGTGTAACTCGATTATCGATAAGATAGCAGATACGATATAGAAGGTGGTGTGCAACCGATACGCATCAATGGCAAGTATGAATTTATGTTGTGAAAGCTATCGCGAGACTAATGCTGAACTGTGTTCAATATTTAGATTGTTATATAGATGATAAATAATAATATACCATAACAACAACATCTTTTTCGGAGTAACTATTAGTAATGGTTATGTTAAAAAATCGGTAAAGACTTTATTATCAGATTGTGTAGATGTGCGGATAGCATATTATAAATTATGTTTTATAGACTATCATATTGGTTATCATAATCACTCTCCTTTATCCTTTATATTTATTCACTCTCCTTTATACTCTCTTTTATATTTAATTATAAAACACAAAGAACTAAAATATTTGCTTCTGGATGTCGAATGAAATAATAAAGTAGTAGACAGTTCGTCTAAGCAGTAATAAAATTATAGTTATTAAAATTATATATAGATTAATTTTTTGGGCGGTTAATCGTTGACATCCATTAAAAAAATTATTATACTGTTTTTTATATATTTTTTTTCTAAACTATAAAGTTCAAAGATTGCAAAACAAACACAATTTCTGATATGAAGTACTTGGTGACGCATAGCAAAAATAGATAAAAACATTTATTTTTCTTTGAAATATTAGTTGTTGGGTTTTTTTTTTAATTTTGAAAAAATGTTTTTTAATTTTTACCCAATCAAATAAATGCTAATGAGAATTAGATATAAAGATAAGTGTTGGTAGTAATCTCAATCTAATAAAAATGTCAATATTTGAGTTTTTGAATTAGAAATGTGTATAAACTATTTAACATGGAAATATTTAATATCGTGAGATTTTTTGAATTTATTTATTGACAAATTAATATGAGAAAAAAAAATTTTTTGGATTTATTTTAAATTCTCGATAAATTACGATTTTAAGTATATTACGTCTTTAAAATATCAAGTCTGTCTCATATTAAAATTATTCATTAATCTTGTTTAAAAATTAGTCATTTAAGTCAAAATAGCTAAATTTAAATACTATTGTATTAGCGCCTTTATACATATAAATATGCTTAACAATATATTTAGAAGCAAGCATTATATATACACACACATAAATATATATAATATATAGGAATGATTCTTGCATACATTGTAGAAACAATAGAGAAATAGAGAATGTATTGGAAAAAGAACTTTTCAAAGTTCATAATCAGATATGCAGAACAATATTATGTTTGTTTTATTTTACTTACTTAAAGGGCGCCTACAAAATCCACATTGATAATAAGATAATAATAATTTCATAAAAAATGTTAACAATAACGACAGGGTTGCGGTTTTTTTATACGATCTATAAAATAAGTGCACTTCAACAGATCTGTGGCTGTGTGGATGTGGAAGCGTAACATCTGTAGTAATGATAGTAATTGTAGTTGCAGTATAAACCGTAAAAGTAACTAATTACTTTACATGAATATTAAAAAATTTATAAAGTGTAATAGCTCAAATTTTTCTCCAAAAATGTTCTCAAAAAAAAAAAAAAACAAAAATGCTAATCGAAAATAAAAAACACACCAAAATATTGCTTGTTTTCATTACAGTTTTATGTTAATATAAAATAAAAGATCCTATTTAATGTTTTTATTAACAAAATAAATTAGAAGCAATAATTAAAAAACGTATGTGGTTTGATTTTGGGATATACCCAAATGACCACAAATGTAAATCACACGCAGCACTCAAGAGCTCTCTGACGTAGTACTCTCTTATTATTGCATGTGTTGACACTTTTTAAGTTGTTACATGTTTATAATATTTTTGAATCACATGATATACAGAATCACATAATATATATTGGAATACATTTCATCAACCCAGTTCGGATGTGTAAAATATTTACATAAATGTACATACCCTCTCCCGGTCTTATCCGCATACATATACCTATAGTAAATATATTTGTTTTTATTTTTAAGAAACTTTTTATTGGAATAGAGATATAAGTTACGTTTCGAAACTATAGGAAGTGCCGTTGTTGCAATAAAATGCAAATAATATTATGTAAAGGTAAGGTGAAAATATGTGCTAGTAAAACAATGCAAAACACAACTTATCCCAGTGATTAACTAGAGCATCCACATCAGAAAAGCAAATACTAATCTCAACAAGAGATGCCCATAAACTTATCCAAATTCATTTTCTAAGAGTGGTGGTTATAAATGAAAAACTACGATAGGCTGCACAAAATTCAAACTGTTATTGTGAAAATATAGTTTACCGAATATGAAAATCCTACTGGGCAGATACATTATCAAATTGGAAAAATCGTGGTCACTGGCCAGTGGGCATTATGTTAAAAAGTTGGGTACAGAAAAAGAATAAACAATTAGACACTTTCATTGCAACTGCTTATGCTTGACAAGATTAAAATATTCCACCATAGACGTCTACGGATGAAGAAACTTTTGATATCCTGTTACATAGCGAGATGGAGGTCTAAAATGACAAAAACTTGCATATATTTTATATTTGATCGGCAATTTTAATTAGCAATTATTAATATAATTTTATTTTATAAAGCAGTCATTATAGTCTTATAAACATCTACAGATATTGGAGGGATAAGTGAATAAAAACCTCCTTGATTTTTTCATCAGATATGCTAATATATTAAATATTTATACACATATATTATAATAGCATATTTTTTATAGTATGTATATATAATTTAAGTTCATTGTTTGTAATTATTCCTAAAATAATATTCATCTTTGAAAAACTGGATAACAAAATTATGGTATATTGTTTTATGTTTTACGTTCAAATTGTACAGTGTGAAAGGACTCATTAAATTACTTTATCAACACTGCTTAGACATTAACTTTTATTTTTTAAACATGCTTAACTTTGAAATTTAGTTTTAATTTTTATTCAAGTTTTCTATTTTTGTAACTGCAGTGTATTTAAATGTGTTAAAGTGTAATACTTGTTTGCTGTATACATTGCCAGAATTTTCCAAAAAAAGTGAATAAATAAATGAAACATTTTTTCTGGTGAGTTCTCAATCAAAAAGTAATTATTATCGTTTTGTACTTAAAAAATCTCTAAATGTAGATTTCAATGTTCTCATAATTACATATTTCGCATTGTATTAAATTCACTATTTAAGTTAACAATACATTCGATTGTGGTTTAGTAAAATATAAAGAAAAGATAAAATTCGAGGTGACACATAATTTTAGGTGTTGAGTTGGCGGCATTTTTTTTTGAAAAATTCGCTGCAAACTACTCTAGTGTTGGAAAACAGTTTTTTTTTCGACGAATTGGAATCGCCATTTGTGTTAGTGATAAGCAATTCTCTAATATAACGGATTAAGATGGAATGGTTACTTATATTATATACATATGAATCATACTATTTCATAGCATGTGAGCTACTTTATAATGTTTATAAATTTAAGCACCCGTAAGTTATCATTTATAAAATACCCTGATAAATAGTGCCTGAATCTGAATCAGTTATATAAACCAAAATAAGCAGATAGTTTGGTTCATTAAGAAAGTAATGTAAAGTAAGGTCCACTCAGTGCCAACAAAAAAATTAGTAAATATATAATAAATACATTTGGATTTTACATCACATTTTCCTTGTTTGTTGAAATTCACTATAATTACAATGTAAGAGATTAGCACTTATAACATTTTTCTACATTAATAATATTAAACAATTTTATTAAAATTTCTTTACATTTTCATTTTATTTCAAATCATTTCAAAATGACTTGTATTGAAAGCTTAAATGAGTAATAAACTGCTTGCAAAACTGAATTTAAGTTCCACCAATGACAGTTTCAATATTAGATGAAGAAAATCAAATAACTTTAAATTGTTTAAATTGAATTGAGAAAGTGAGAATCTGAACAAAAAACTTGCCGAATTCGGTATTGGCGCTATGTTAATAGTTTAATTTTTCTATTTCAAATAATAGTTTCATATTCTTTGTTTCTAACAAATATTTTATTAGGAACTTTAATTAGGAAGTCGTTTAAAGGACTAACTTCACAGTCGTTACCTAAGTCTTCTTACTACCCTAAATTAATCTTTGCTGACAAATTTTATATTTCAGCCAAATTTGCCACTCTAGTCACTACTATGAAATCGGGCATAAGTATTAGAGATTCATATGATTCGTATTTAAGTATTTTTATATATATTCTGTCTCTGCACTTAATTTCAGTGCAAAAATTATCAGTCACGTAAAATCTGCTAACAAAATTATCGCCTACAGATATTTCTTATACTGATTTTTTACTTTAAAAATATATTTTATGTAGCAGGAAAGTGTGTTGTATATAACTCTCTAATTTAGTGATACTACAAAAATATTTCTATTGATTGACATATATAAACAGTATCACTCATTATAATTAGAGGTAACATGAATTACATTTTCCATCAAAATTTTTACTTTAATTAGGAATGTGAATTTGGTGGATGAATACATGAATGAATTTTTTTATTTCAAAAATAAACTTTTTTATTTATATATAGATCCTCTTAATGATTTATATTAGGAAATTTGACAGTGTTCTTCATATTTTCAATTTAAAATTTCTAAGGAATTGTAGTTGTACAAGCTTGAGAATTGTATTATTATCTTCAGGCTAGTTAAGTCAGGGAACTTGAATACTTTTACTCCCTACTAACTAACTTAGTTATATGCAGTGTTAAACTAGATTTCATTCGCATTGTTAGACCATTCACAGTTATTCTATCTCAATTATGATTTTTTCATATTTTATTTTTAACCAATGTTAAGATATTAAATAAGATTAGTTTATACCCCAAAATAAAACTTCTCTACTTACGTTCTTTATCATAGTTAAAGAAATAAATTTTATATAAACAAATTATTAAAACATTACTTTCTGTAAAAATTATTTTATTTTATGTATTTCAAAATTATATTTTCGAAATAATGGATCTTTATGCAATACGAAATAAATAAAGAAGTATGTTATTTATTTTGTAAATACTTATGTAATTTTTGTCTCTACATTATGCATTATTTGAACATATAATAATTAATAATCAAATTCAAAAAATATTAAAAGAAATTAAAAATTAAAATTTATTCAACAAAATTAATATTCAAAAAAATTAACATTTTTTTGAAACTTGTAATTTAACCTCGGTGTCCATGGCCACCAAATCCTCCTTGACTTCCATGTCCAAAGCCTCCCTGGCCACCATGACCACCTTGTCCAAAGCCTCCTTGGCCACCATGACCACCTTGTCCGAAGCCACCCTGACTACCATGTCCGAAACCACCTTGACCAAATCCTCCTTGGCCACCATGACCTCCTTGACCAAAACCGCCATGACCACCTTGACCAAAACCTCCTTGTCCACCATGTCCACCTTGACCAAAACCTCCTTGACCAAAACCACCATGTCCACCTTGACCAAAGCCGCCATGACCACCATGTTGCCGGGCAAGCCGAGCGCCTACATTATCGTGTTCAAGTCCAGAAGGTATATCTTCTAAACTATGTGATCGCGCCAAAAGAATAGCTCCAAAAAGCGACAATATTAATACGAAAGCGCGCATGATTAACTGTTTATAAGAATAAGAATACTCTTCAAAAATTTGCTGCTTCTTAGGCTTTTATAGTTTTATATTGTATGTTAATTTCTTATTTACTGACATCATAAACTTGTTGAAATTATGTTTATTAGATTTTATGGTGTCCAATTTATTTGGAATTCTGTTATCTTTGCTAAAAAACGAAAAGTTTTGAACGCGTTTGTTTAGTGTTCATTAGAAAAAAAGTATGCAGATTGTTTTATAAACAATTTTAGTTTTTGAATATTCAAATACAATAATTATAATATCTTATAAATTAAAAAAAATAATATGATTGTAATATATGTATTAACAACAAATTAAGTAGTTTTTGGATAAGCATTTTTAATTTAATTGGGAGAAAGTTAAGCTAATATATAGCTGGGTTGGGGATAAACTTAAACATTTATACACTAAAATAACCAATAAGTCAATTAAAATATTCAAAGCTTTGTGGTCGGATCTATATATATTTAAAATTATACTACTATTAACCTAATACAAAAAAAAATAATAATATTTAAATTGTTTATTTTATGAATTTATTATATTTATTACTTCATATATTAAAGTTTGTATTCCAACAAAAAGCGCTTCACAATATATTTACAATATTGTTTACTAACAAAAATAGTTTCAAGTTCTATTAAAAGTTTCTATTTAAGAAGCTAAATAACATCAAAAATTATTATTTAAATAATGTTAAAACTTTGAATTAGATGAATTAAATATATTGTTCTGATCTGTTATTATTACAAAAATGGGTATGGATAACTTAAGGATTCTTTAGTTCTATGGGTACTTTCAAAAATTCATTAATTAAAATTTAAGTCTGGTACATCAAACGTCAAATGATATACAAAACCAGAGTTGCCATTTCCACATTTTTTTTATTTTGTTAAACTACTACAGTTATAAACCATATAGTTTACGGCGAACTTGATCTTTACCTCATTTTCTAACACAGTATGTTCTCCATGTTTTTAATAAAAATAGAAATAAGCATAAGCCATACATAAAAGTGGCATGACAAGCAGGATAAATATGTTCTATAAAATTGCATAAAAATATTTAATGTTGATTGTAATGTCCAAATAAAGATTATAAGGATTTGAGATATTTCTCCTGAAAATAAAAACCTGAAAAGTTATGTTCCAAATGTATACATTTCATTTTAAACTACATTCATAAATGATTTACCCATACCTTATTCAAATATATTTAACAATTTTTTTGTGATTCTATTAACAATAATTTTTTTATATTCCTTTATATGTAAATTAAAAATAAAAGTTTAATTTATTATTTACAAAAATTTACTTACAGAAAACTCTTGCGTTGTGATTCAAATAATCCAATTATGACTGTTACTCGCAAATGTTGGTTAGGTTTTTTTATAATTATTTTCGCATCGCCCGTACTTTTCTTCTTCTTGTTTATTGATCATGCGGTTTCGTATTTAAAAGCGCCGTTTTGGTACTTTTTTCAGAATCAGGTAATATTTATATATAATAAATTTAAGCAAAAGTAATAAAATTACAAATTGTTTGTTTGATTCGTTTTAGGAAATTCCACCTACTTACTTGGAAAAATTTTGTGGATCTATACATAAAGATCTACTTTTGGATGAGATTTGTTTGGAATGGTTTTACAAAGCCACTCATTACTGTGCTCACAAATTGATTACTTCTTCAGAGAATAATCCACATATATTTAGCCTATTTAGCAAAATTTTTAGACGTTCTCATAATAGAAGTGTACAAGGCAATAAATTTCCAATTAGTATAATACCAGATTTATTGTCAACTGAGGAGTGTTCCGTTCTTTTCGCCGATATGGTAGATGATTATATTAATCATGCACCAGTTTATATAGCAACAGGAAAGATAAATTTATGCCTGTGGACTGTATTGCGTATGTTAACTGTTATGCTGATATCGGCAATTGTACTGCTTCTAATCATAAAAATTTTCATCAAGACTGGTAGACATAAGGCCATAAGTTATACGGAACGAGAACGTTTAAGGTTATATGAACAAAGGGAACAACAAGCTTATAGAAGAAGTGTATGTATTATATCGGAAGAGCTTCGGCGTTTAGGAACTGCTCATCTGTTTCGACCAGATGATTTTATTGCAAAAACTAATGTTCCAATGGTAGTAATGAGAATGGATTCAAAAATTAAATTTACTTCAAACATTGTCGGTCGAAGTTGGTCAGGCGTCACGCGTCTTTATCGTATATCTAACGAAAGCATCTCAAAAGATGAAGATACGCGATATGGAGACGGTGAGAATCCGCTATATCAGCATAAAGTGTTAAAGTTTTTACATGAATATGCTGGTGAAATACGTGTTGTATTTTTATTTAATGATAAACCAGACTTAATTGAAACAGATGCTCCAGTTGCTACTGCAACCAAACGCAAAAATTCACGTTCCTTTCTAACGCCTAGATCATATTCACATAATTCCGGATCATCACAAAGAAGAACTTCATCAGCACCAACCACACCGACAAAGACTCCAGCAATTGCAATTTCTAGATCGAGAACTCCATCACCTATTAAGTGTAATAGACCTTTATCACAAGGAAGAACACCATCTCCATCACCAGCAACAACTACTAGATCCAGAACTCCATCACCAACTAAAAATACAAGGTGTTCATCACCAGTAAAAGCTTCAGCGCAAACTAAAATTCCAGGAACGTTAGAAAAAGCTGCAAAAACATTCTCCAAACCACCAATTAAGAAGGCAATTGATAAGACTATAGGTACATCAACTAAAGGAGCTAAAACTTATGATTCATATATTCATACTAGTAAAATACCAAAATTTACACAGAACGTTCCAGCAGTAAGAAGTACATCTCATATCGGAACAGAGGCACGTCCGACTATCCAACATTCGTTTTCACATTCACGTTCACGTTCTTTTGACAAATCTGCAACGTTTATGACTGCAACAAAACCTTCCTCACCATCCAAAATTCCACGTTCCCACAGCAAACTGGGTCCGTCTAACAATTCCAAGTAAAACGTTAAAAGACATTCAACTTCAAATATTTTTACGTTTTCAGTTTTTAAATAAAATAAAAATTACAGAAATAAATTGATAATTCGAAATTTTTTTGCAATGTTTTTTATTGCATATTTGCTTACTTACAAAAAATCAAATAATTTTATACAATTTTTTAATTGCTTCAGCTTTTAAAAATAATAATAACAATTAAAAAAATTTAAAATTACAGTTTTCACTTAAAACAGTTTTAGTTAAAATTATTTAATAGATAGAAAAGTGCGATGGACAGTAACACGTAGAGCGGTTTTCATGAAGATATTTGTGAAAATAGAAAAGAAACCTTATTGAAAATATAGAAACCCATGACATAGATATGATTAGAAGGAGGGAGTGAAAACGAGTGAGCACTTTCTTAATAAAATAATAAACATTATGTAAAAATAATAAATATAAGGTTAGTCCTTTGATTATATTAGAACTTCATTATTGTTAACGCTGGTATATTTTGCTATTTTCTCCTTAGAAAACACTTAAATTGAAATAATAGAAAAGATGTTGCCACATTTTGAATTGATTTTTTGCCTGCTGTACCTATGATTGCTAACTTGCCGTTTAATCTAGTGCTGATGAATTTTGCTGAAAGTGTTGTATCCTTTGCAATTTTTAAAGCCAAATTAATAGTTTACTTAAAGAAGCGACCACCAGGTGCTCTTGCTGGTGGAGGTGTTGGTATGTGAGCACCTTCTGCGCGGTAACCATTTTCATCAGCAATATAGTTTATGGTATAGACAACACCATCTGGACCAGTGTAAGAATACGAGCCTTGCATGACCTGTAAGTGCGGAAAATATATATTTATTGTGGATTGCTTTTATGCTTTTAATTATGTTGTAATGAGTTAAACTAATATTTTCCATTTATGTCTTAAAATTATAAGATACAGCTTTGATAATAAGATACAATTTATGTAGATGTGTCGAAAATGTGTGGTAATAATATTTTCTGAGAATATTGAACACTTGAATATTGAACAACTTTTTATATCAAATATTTTGATAAGAAATGAAGATTATTGAATATTAATTATTTATTTTATATGGCAGCTATAAGAAGTTAACTACATCGATTGAATCAGTCCATATAATCAGAAAGTCTATTTAGCTGAATATAGAGCAATACGAGTATTATGCCCCCAAAATATGCTATACATTTATGAAATTTATCAGCGCAACCAAAAAGTATGTTATATATTAAATTGTGTTAAGACACAGTATATATTAATTATACATGTTTATATACATATATAAAAAATACTACAAATAATATATATATATATAAATACATATAAATGCGCTTTGAAAACCGCTCGTTATAGAGAAACCAAATTTTCGAAACCTCTTTCCTGATTTGTAGAATTATACTTTAAATAAATTAAATGAAGTAAGGGAATATAAGACTGTTATTTTGGAGACATTTAATTGTTTAGGAGTACGGTGATTTTGTTGATAACCTATCAACATTACTACTTGGCATAAGACTATTTGATATAACATTACAGCTCGAACTACCACCTGAACAAGATGAAAGATTAGTCTCATTCTTTGGACTGCCTAACTTTGCCGTAAGCCAAGAAGAGGTTTATGTGGGGTGAGCTGTTGTCGCCCGATTTCAGGAACTCCTCAATTAGGAATATTATAGCCTTTATTCGTTAAGCAGGTTACTTTCCATTTAGTTAGGAATATTTATAATACAAAATATATGTTGATAAGTGTGTTTTGCTTTGAATACGAGAGCAGATCCGTATAGTTTATGTGTGTACTTATCTACCTAGAAGTGAGTCGATACGAAAAGTTCTATTAAAATATTTATCTATAACTGAAACTAATTCCATGGGTCGTTTATATACTTTGTGACTAAATCTTAGTTGCATTAATATTTAATATTTTATAATATTTGTATATGTTGTACTTATACAATATTATACGTTTTGTAAACATAAAGATATCATCAACCTATTATTATTTAGTTACATTAACCTTTTTAAAACAATACTCAATGATTTGTTTGGCTATGAATTTTAAATAGATGTATCAAAATTTATCTATTTTTTGCAATATTTCACAAAAAATTATCATTTTTTTATTATATATTTTAAATAATTTATTTTTTTGAATTTATCCGTAATAAAATAATTCGATAATATTATTTCATAGAAATAGATACATGTATTTAAAAGTAATTTGAGTTTTGCAAAATTTTCATTATAAAGTTTTGTTTATTGGTTCTTACCTGTGCTTCAAGTTGAGAACCAGGATTTTTCAGAAAACCTGCTTCATCAGCCCGGATTCCGTTGCTTGTTTCATAACTAAAATTTGAATTAAATAAATTAAGTTTTAATATATTCCATACATAAAAGACAAATATAATATATATAATACTACTTTATTCACTTACTTATAGTTATATGAGCCATCTGGATTCAAATCAAAGCCTTGTTTAAGTATCACAGCATTAGCCTCAAAAGTGCGTCCACCTTGTGGTATAGGAATGCCACGTTGAGCCAGAACTACACCGAAACAGCAGAGAACAGCTAAAGTAAAGGCAGTCGAAGCGAATGATGAAGTCTTCATGTTTTCTAATAAATAAAAAAAAGAAATAGAATCTAAATGAAGTGAGATAATAAATAGCTAAAATATTTTATAAAATTTTTTTTATTATCATTACTTTACTTTACGTATATATGAGTATTATTTAAATGTAAAAATTGTAACATTTTGAACTTTAAGTTTGACAAGATTTGTTGCAGTTTTTAATTGTAATTATATTGTAGATACGAGATAAAGATAAGGTGTGTATGTAAATTTGTGAATGGTAAATTTTGAGTGGTATTTTACATGTTATGCACTTCATATCTTTGGGCGATCATTTTAATGTCAGCTGCATTCATTTTCACTATTTAAAGCTTCCTACTGCCACAGTTAATTCAACTGTGCATGCAGATTAACTTTTTTCTTTTTGTTAAATAAAACTGGCATGCAGAAGTAGAAGACCTGCAGAAGTGCCAATGAAAAAGGCAGAGTTTAATTTGAAGCTTTTTTCAACCTTATCTAACTCTTACATTGAGAAAGGCATAGAAATACTACAAATATAGATTATTTTTAAATTAAAATAACAAAAAAAAATTTTAAAATAACATATATAGTAATTCTAGATCTGAACTATTATAAAGACAAAGTTTTAAATTAAATCGTCTTGAATTATATATTATAACTTTTGTGATTAGACTTGATATAAAACTGAGAAATAAATAAGTTTTGGGGATTCTTCTAATCGTAAATACTTCGGAGTTATTATAGGAATCTTGACAGTTATTGTACTCTGTTTGTTATGATTTTTTATTAAAGATCCAGTTAACTAATATGTGGCATAGGTTGTTATCGCTTGCTGCTAGGTTAACTATAGTTCTTTTAGGGGAGTTATGTATAGGAATCTTACCCGAGAAACTCCGCATTTCTTTTAAAAAATATTGTAGAATTTATGAAAACAGACGAAAAATATAAAAATACATATTATCTTTGTTGTTAACCAGCTTTGGTTACCAGAAAGAATAGTTTTCAAGGAAGTACTTTTTAGATGATTTGAAAAGATATGTAAGACAATATAAACTTAAAAAAACGGTTGTAGTTTAATTGATCGGAGTTTTTGTGAGTAATGTGATTTTACAGTGACGAATAATTGTCAAATAAAGAAAGTGAAGGAGTATGGTACGTGCTAAGTAACAAAAGTAACTGTTAGACTACATAAACTCTACAGTTTCATTCATTGGGGTTTCTAGCGACAAATGTGGTTTTACAGCGGCTCATAATCATTATTAATAAATATGGTTTTACAGCAGCTCATAATCATTATTAATAAATTTTTATAAATATATAAAATATAGTTGTAAATATTTTTGTTTTGTCACAGAGGGTAATTAATAATATATAATTTATATTGTTATGTTTTTTCCGTTGTTTATTTGTGAGATATATAGTTTTATTTTTCAAATGCAAATATATAATCTAACAATGATCTATAGGCGCATATAGCGCAAAAACATAGGTTTAGTAATATACTGTATTATTGAAGGATTACCACAAACGCATCTTATTTCTGCGTTTTAAAACTTTTATTTTTTTTACTCCTTATAAATTCAATAAAAATATCCTTCAATACATCCTTGTAAAAGTACAACGGAAGCGTATTAATTTGTCACTGGAATCTTGTAGAAAAACTCTGAATTTAAGGTCAGAGCAGCGATTTTTATCTGTAGCTAGAATCATTTTTGTCGGGTCTATGAGAAGAGGAAGAACCGTCTTGCAGTCATTATTAACTCAAAAAGTAAGTAAATTGTTCTATAAGAGAGTTAGTATTAACATTTAACTAATATCATTAAACTAATTTAACTAGCACCGCACTTCTTTCAAAACTATCTTATTTACAATATAATGGTATTACATTTATAAAGAAAATTAATAATAAGTATACGAAGTAATGAACAACAATTCCATAGTACCGACCATGCTACATGGAATCAAAGATTATAAATTGGCAACAATTAAAAACTACAAAATTTGATTGTCGTGGAATATAGAGCTCTTTGAATATTATATCTCAAATAAACTTATATTATTTTTTCAAGATTTTTAGCAAGATACAGCGTTGTCGTGATTAAAGTTAAAAGAAAAAAATTTTTTAATAAATTTTTATTTATGGTAACAAAGTGTATTCATTTCAGTTTTCACTTTCATTAAAGAGTATCTTTCATTAAGTAGAAACCCAAAAGTATTATATTTATCCACCATCTATTGTGAGAATTATGAATTACGGTCATGAGATGCACATAATTTTATCAAAAATATTATATATCATAACATTAATAAGTCAAGTTTCTCAACATTTAAGCCGACGTGCTCTATTGACCGACTAATCAGTTTTGAAGATTAGGCACGATTTCAGGCTTTTATAATGCTTTGAAGCGTTATAATAAAACTTTGTAAAGGATATTTTATAACAAAATTAAATTAGTTATTATTAATATATTTTCTTAAAGAAATTTTTGTGATGGTAATACGAAAGATGGTTTTTTTTGTAGAAACACTTTTTTAAAAAATTTTCTTTTATTTCTTTTTTTAATATTAATTTTAAAGTGAATTTAGAGTTGATTATTTGATTGGTAAAAAGTATTAATAAAATTATTATATACACACACTTTTTAAGATTTGTTTAATTTCGAAGTGATAACAAATAGGATATTTTCAATACGAAAATATCACTGGAATTTTAAATGAAATAAAAAACGTAGTTATTTCAAAGGACACGATAAACACAGTACAAGTTACACGCGTTATTACTTGAGATCGTCTTCGCTTGAAGGCTCGTCAAAAATGTTTTGATGCAACTAACAAAATTCAAACGTTTTTATACTAAAATGCGATAGCACAACAGCAGCAACAATTGCAATCGAAAATTGTAGCCCTCAAAGCAACACCATCAATACTACGGCCAACAACAACAACAACAGCATTCGCAACTGCAACTTCAACAATGGCATCAGCATAGCTTCAAAGCGCATCATCGTATCTCAAAGCTGCATTCTAAGCAGTAGCTTCAGTGAAAAAGCGCGCTGCACAAAGACATATGCGCAACGTTATTCAGATTGGGCGGGGGCTGCGCATGCACTTTGTGCGCGAATCGAGATGATGTGATTTGATATATTCGTAAGCCGTGAAGAGCGCAAAGTGCGATACTTGATGTGCGTCATATTTGGCTGAGAGGCAACAAGGTAAGGTGCAATTGGTAAGAACAACAGCAGTTGAAGATACAATAACAATAACACCAACACTAACACCAACAATCGCTATGCTAGCTAATCTAGTAATTTATGAGAATTTGTACAGCGCAAGCATGCAGGCCTCGTCGCGGATATCAAAGCCAATAACATTTTGCAAATATTTTTAATTTAATTTAAGATCTTTCTCTGCATAGCATGGACTGCATTAGCTCTTATTGGCTATAATTTTTAATTTGATTCAGAAGCATGACAATATAACAACATTAATATATGACGTTATAAATTTACAGATGTATGTAGCTTTTGATAATTGCATATATATATATATATATATGCATATATATGCATAATTATAATATCCATTTATATTGTGATATGTAGTAAATTAAATGTTTGAAATATATTATAACGAAGACATAGCAGTGAATATAATTTATTAGAACAATTTAGTAATTTCAAGGATATATAATTTTATTGCCTAGTACATTATTATAAATTAATTTATTTAAAAATAATTTTGTTTTTTTACGAGCTAATTGGTCAACAATTAAATAATAAACTCTTTAAAAAATATTTGTTTTTAAAACATTTTATTTTTATCGATATTTCGATTATAATCTATAGTCAGCATCAGGGTACTATAAAATTTAAATACAAACTTTTTATGGCCTCTCTCGTTGAGTAGTTCCTGATATCGGGCAACAACAGCTTACGTCACAGGAACCTACTCTTGGTTTACAGCAAAATTAAGCAGTCCAAAGAATGAGACTAAACTTTCATCTGGTTAAGGTGGTAGCTCAAGCTGTAATGTTATATCAAATAATCTTATGCCAATAAAAATAAAATCCTTTAGAACAAATAAATATTTTTTAAAAAGTTTATTATTTAACTATTGACCAATTAGCGTGTAAAAAAAACAAAATTAGTTTCAAAAAAATTTTTCGTCATTAAAACAATAAATTATTAAATTAATTTATGTGAGATGATATAAACAAAATTTATTCTAAGTAAATAATAGTTATATATGCATGATCTGTACACTATATTGTATAAATCAAATACAAAAACAAACCACCCAATATAGTTAAACTAAAAAAATTGAGAATCTTTAGGAACTTAAATAAAATGGACTCTGATTAAAGATAGGCGCTTGAATTATAAAAGTAGTATGTGTTCACGTATGAACATGGTTAATTTTTTATTCTGTCATATGTAAGTATGCGCGAATCTAAGAGAGGCTATGAAAACAAAAATACCTGATAAGAAGCGATAATGGCGGACCTACGTATTCACATCTTTCTACTTCAAATCTGTTTTCAAATCTCAGAAAACTCTTTCAATATTAATTAAATGACTTAAACGATAACCATCAGCATTTGCATAAAATTCAAATATAGTTAAATATGCTCTCTAACAAGTGAACGTAGTTTCTTTAATCTTCAGGCGTATCATTGAAGAAAGAGAACTCGACTAGATAAGGAACAAATCAAGTAAGTAAGTAATAATATAAAATTGAAATAAATATAAATTTCTTTTTAAATATTCCCAAAACTCCTGGAGAGGGAAGTTTTTTAGCATGTCAGCGCTTGACGCGAACCTGTGGGTGTGTGTAGAAACTTTTTGTTCCCCAGCCTCGAGAACAAAAGAAATCTTCAAGTCCGACACATTTTTATAGAAGGCATATTAAATTGATCATTTATTTGCGAATGGTTTTTAATTTGTTAATTAATTCCCAATCTGTACAAGCAGGGTTTTGTGGATGTTAAGTTTTTATTTATTAAATGAGGCGACTGATATCATACTATGTTATATTGTACTAAAGCACACATTTCTCGAAATTTCCTGCTACCAAAACTATAACATAAAGTTACTTAACAGTTTCAAACTGTGAAGCTGTGATATTGGTGATATAAATCCGTATTGTAAAAAGGATCTCTTTGAAGGCACCTTAAAGGTTAATAATATGACTTTATATTTTCATTTCCTTTTCAAACAAGTGTATTTAACTGTATTTAAGGGAGTGTGAAGAACTACTAATAATTAATAACAAATAAAATATCTTAACAATATATCGTAAGATTGAAAAGGTTGTGGGATGAATTTACGAGTATTAATTGAATGTGTTGGTTTTTATATCTTTTAGCAAAGGAGAGGTCAATCCCGACGTGGAAGGGAAGGCCATGAAATACCTTTTATATTTGAAAGTACTTTTTATACATGGTATTATAAAGAATAGTTAATAATATTACTTATTTGGCATATGTATTATTTTTTGTAGCGCAATATTATACATATTTTAAATCAGTTGTATTAATTATGTCCTCCAACTTATATTGGAACAACACTGAGAAGGAAGATATGATCTACACGGAGTTATAATAGGTAAGAATGATGTTCATGATTAAGCGATTTCAAATCATACAGAAACAATAGAATACAAATTAAAGTTCATTATTGCAAGTTAAATGAATTTATTAGACATCATAAAACCGCATTCGTTGCAAATAACATTCAATTAACACAAATTCCACCATTCTGAAATGAATATTGACTAAAAAAGATATCAAATAGATTAAGCACAGTAGAATTTAATAACACATATCTAAATTTTATAAAAACTAAAAATAAATATGACATTCATATGTTATATTTAGTTATTATTAAATGTATCTGAAAAATATATCTGTTCCATATTTTATGAGGTAATAGGTTGAGTGATCATCAAACTTAAATTTAAACTTAAAGAGTAAATACGTTTCACGTAGAAGGAATTTTAGATGATTTTCATTATTTCATGAAAAGGGTTTATCTATTTCATCACTCCCTTTTTAGTATAGCTGACTACTGAATACTCTGTTCAATTGCTGTATCAAAAGCAAAAGTAAACCATCCATCAAGCGATCAAGTGATCTTGTTTGACTAACATTCGAAATGATTACAGCTTTTCGCTACTCGTACTAAACTAACCCAATTTTGAGGATTTTTCACAGAAGTAGTTAAGCAGTTAGGCACTTGTTATCTTTTCAGTTCCCAATCATTTGCAATTACAATAAACAATAGTAATGAGCAGAGATTTATGTTTGTTTTGTTGCAATTTTATGAACTTTGGTCAGATCTTTGTAGATTTATTGAATTGATTTGATTTTTATTTTGGTTTTTTTTTTGTATTTTTTTTGTTTTATTTTTATTTTTGTTTTATATCATTTTTGCGGTATAGCATTAAATATGGTGAATGATGGGATACTATATATTGGACACGCTTTGATATTTACATTTTGAAAGCTTAACATTTTAATACAATTTGATGAGGCAATCTCTTTATATATTTATATAAATTTTTTTTAATTTTATTATTTTTTCTTAGCGTTTTAATTTGTAGTTTAAATATTTTATTTATTTTGTAGACACAATATGAAGTAAGAATTGCTATGCAGGTGAATCATTTAGTTATTATAATTTTTTAATAAAATATTTGATAAAATTTTTCAGTGACTCAATTGAATTATGCAAACTACAGGGTTATCCATTCTGTGTTTCCGAAGTACCGCAAATTTGTCACATACATTGATTGTTCAACATCTATATTTTGAATGATAAACCCTAAATATAGATATATGTTGATTTGACGTATAGTTGTTCTGACATATATCACTGTAACAGTACTGTCAAATAAATATCACGAAATGGATAACCCTATAAAGAAAATTTTAGTATGTGCAAGGCTCTTAGACTCCTAAACTCCTAGGAAACTGAAATTTTGACAATAAATTATTTTAAAAAATTCAAAGATATTTATTTTATGTTTGATATATGCGGGTCATTATTGAAACGTCGCGTCTTCAAGTCTGTGGCCACTTAAATTGCTCATATAATTTTTCATACGGATTCATGGTTTGCATGAGAAATTTATGGGTACTTGTGCTGCAGCTTCTAAAAGTTCAAATACCAAACACTCCTACACAGCATTTAGACCAGTTTTTTGTTTCTATTTATTTCTAAATTTAATTTTTTTTTCTCAATTTCTTAAATGCGCTTTTCATACTTCTTGATTGTGCCATCAATTGAGAGCTACGTTTGCTCCTAAATAAAAGTGAAAACCAACACACAAAAGGCGTTTCAAGCTTTAATATTTTATTTTATTTTAATATTCATCTGTTGTGTTCCCGTAGCGTTTGAAGATTCGTTGAAGTTACATAGTCAGCCGGCCGGCAGTAATCATATCAGTTTAGATTAAAATGTATCTTGTAGTCGGCTTCACTTTTGTTAAACTTTAAACTTTGCGGTCTTTATTAAGCAGCAGACACTAGTCAGTAAATAGGAAATGTCAGCCGTAATTTGTATTGTAAATCTGGAAACTACATCATAATCATCTATGATGTTATTAGATTATGCCTTGTAACTTGGCCACTCTCAATTAATACAATTTACCTTTGTGCGGAGTTCAATTGGCCTTCAGTATATTGATTTGATGTGGCCTAACTTAATAACCATGTGAACTGCGTTCGCCAATAATGAGAACTCTTTGCACCTATTTTTTTTTTACATTATTGGTTTTGTTTTATAAAAAGTTTGTTATTGGTGTGCTCAGTTGTATTTAAATGCATATTTCACATTTGACATACAGCAAAACTAAATCTTTGATTATTTTTCCAAAGAAAAAAAATTCTATAAAATATCAAGAATAATAACATTGTAAATACTGAGAACTTAAACTATTTTATTGGCATTGTAAATCTTAACTTAATTAAACAACTATACCTATAGTATATATTTGAGTACGAAATGTAAATTTAAATAAATCCAGAACGATTCAAACAGATAAAAAATTTTAAAATTTAAATTTACTTAAAAGTAAAATTTTCAAGCATTATATATATCAATAATAATATTTCAAATACAGAATTTCTTACTCGATACATGAAAATTTAATTCATAACAAAATAATAAAAATAAGGCACCTAATATACGTATGAACTATATTTGATATCAGTTTTTTAAATGATCAATTTT